ACAACAAGAAGGCATTGACTATGGAGAAACATTTTCTCTAGTAGTCAAGATGGTCACTCGTTTAAACGAGTCATTGTACTAACCGTTATACATGGTCGCTCTTTATACCGGATGGATGTGACTAACGCCTTTTCATAAGGTGATCTTCATAAAGAAGTCTACATGACTTTAACACCGGCCTTCACACTCGGGGGAGGGTTTGGTATATAGATTGTTGAAGTCCCTTTTTGGTTTAAAGTAGGCTTTCGAGCGAGTGGAACTCAACGTTCATCGAAAATATAATTTTGGCTAGCTTTGTTCAATCTAAACATGACTATTCAATGTTCATTAAAATGAAAAATGGCAAGAGGGGTATATTGTTAGTATATATGGATGACATCTTGATTACGGGAGATGATGTAGTTGAAATACATAAACTAAAAGTTTTCTTACATGATAATTTCCATATCAAAGATCTTGGATACTTGAAGTATTTTACGGGAATTGAGATTGCAAGGTCTGCTATAGGAATTTTTTTTAACCGAGAGGAAATATACTCTAGAATTATTGAATGATGCTAGGTTGCTTGCCAAACCTATGAAAATGCCTTTTGAATAGAATTTAAAGCTTAGTATAGCACGATACGATGAAGCAATGCACAACATACATACTAATCCACTTTTGGTCGAACCTACCGAATATCAAAGGTTAATTGGCAAATTAATCTACTTGATTGTCACCGGGCCAAAAATCATCTATGATGTACAAATACTTAGTCAATTCACGCATCAACCAAAGGCATCACACTCGAATACAACTATGAGGGTGCTTAGGTATCTTAAAGGCAATCCAGTCTTGACATTTTAATGTCATCTTCGAGCCGATTGTAACTTAAGGTATTCTATAATTCGATCGGGCGAACTTATCCTATGACAAGAAGATCATTGGCTGGTTTTTATGTATTTTTTGAAAACTCACTTTTGTCCTAGAAACTAAAAAGCAAAACGTTGTCTCATGTTCTTTAGCGAGAGGCGGGATATCGAGCAATGTCCTCTACTGCATGTAAGATAACATGATTGGTTAGATTAATGAATGAACTCTAGATTGTAGGCATAAACACGGTAGAGATGAGTTATGATAACAAGGAAGTTTTATACATAGCTTCTAATCCGAGTTTTTCATGAAAGAACCAAGCATATTGAGATAGATTATCACTTAATTAGAAAAAAATTAAGGATCGATCAAGACGAGTGTTTGTCAAGACGAGGAAACAAGTCGTAAACATTTTTACCAAGAGTCTTGGCAACAAGAATCATCAATATCTAATACTCAAGTTTGGTGTTTATGACATGTATAAACCACCAACTTGAGGGGAGTATTGAGAATTTATTTTGTACTCGTATATAGTATAAATGTGTTTTATAGTTCCAATAGAGAAGTATAGCCTTCGGTTGCATGTATATATACTATTTTGTTTTTGTTACAATGGTAACATAATAGTAACAAACATTTTTCATATTTGTTTATCTCTCTTTTATTACGTCAATAAAGTTGAGTTGGGATTCATGTATGATCGGCTTTATTCTAAAGTGAAAGAGGTTTCTTTGAGACACATAATTCTTCACTCTATCACCTTCTTATCCTCTATTTCTACATTAGTTTCCTTTTCGATAATGACAATGAGCAAGAATGTCTACTAAAAAAAAATATGATCATCTCTTACTTGTTGCTTGTTGAAGCTATCCCGCTTGAAATCTATTATATCATTGTGCTTCTCTTATCCAACTGGACTATGCTTTGGTTTAGTAAGTGTGATATAGGAGTTGATATTCCGTATGGAATCAATTGTGTTTTTCCACTAATATCATTTTGTAGGAATCACGGAAGATGGTCAAGATCCGTGGTATAACTAATAAGTTTTCAATCAAAAAAGCTAGCGAATGAGCTTCGTAAGGAGCATTTTCCAAGAAAATGGAACATTCATAGCCGAGCCGATGTGGACAAGGATTTAAAAAACTTGATTTTCAAACAAGTCATGTATAAACGTTCAAGGTACAATCCTTATAACAATGATTTCACTTACCTCGAAGCTATTGGAAGAGAGAGATGGCCGGGTGCTCCAAAGCTACAAATGGTTTGAAAAACTTGGATGGAGTGTGGTCGATGTAGACTTCATTCATAACCTACTCACTTGGCATATTGATGTTCATATTTGTTACTTCGGGATTTTTGAAGGAATAGTGTTATCGAGGATCCAAATGGTAAAATGAGCGGATTATCATCTAATTGCTTGTTGTATCTTCCGGTTGAGTGTCTAACTATGTTACCTAGAAAGCATTGCGGAACAAGGTATGCCGATACTAGCATTCATTTGTTTCGTTCCCTTTTCTAGAGTACTCATAAAGGAGAGAAGTGAAGAAGATGCTATTGAAGGAAGGTGGTAAAGGGATTTTGGAAGTTGTGGATGCATTTTTCAATGAATTACTTTGAAGTCCAAGTGAAATGTTAAAGAAGATTTAAGATGAAGACCATTGAGAAATGTCGACCCTACTAATTGGTTACATACTTGCTATCTCATTGCACTCGTTGGAGAATAAGGAAGAGAAATGAGAAATGATCGAGTGAAGTGTGGGTGCACATGTTGATGCATGCCGTAAATCATTATGGATGGAACGAACATGCTAGTGCACTTACCCGAGGTTGGGAGTTGATCACTCATGTGCACCTTCTCATGGTACATCTCGATTTAAACGAGGCGGTGTCGACCTCCAGTAAGTGAACAATTACTTGCAAGGTCTATAAGGATAGAGGATATTGTCGACCTTGAGTCTAAGGTATAGTATCGTGTATTATTTTAATTACTTTGGGTTGCTTAAATTGTTATAGTACTTCAATTAATCGGGAAGGAACTTTCTCATGTATTATTACGCCTTTTTTCTCTATGCCATTCCCGATCTTGATCGACTAGTTTAATTAGTTCTTACGTGGTTTCGCTATATATTATAACTTCATTGCTTAATAGTATTGCTTGTTCTTAGTAACAATTATAAGGGAGGCGAAAAGAAAAATATCTTTTCATAATTGTGTCTTTTTTAGTAATAATTAGATAATCAAGATTGAGCTCTATCTAACAAAAAAAAAAAAAAAAAACTTAAGTCTTGTAATACCGAGTGATTCATTTTTAACTTTATATATTACTAATTTTTTTTATATATTTATTCAATATAAGATATATTCTTTAACCACAATAATTGTTTTATTCAAAAAACTTAAATTAGGAAGAATTAATGTCATTATTGTGCAAAAAATGGTATAAAAATACTTCGTAAACAAGAATAGTAATAAACATTAGAAATGCTTGTGCGTAGAATGGTTGAACTCCTTAGTGTTTTTTCACCAAACAAATATTTCCATATTATATTTTTTATTATTCAAAAAACTTATTTAAAAATACCTTTACCAATAATAGAAAAGGAATCATAATGCAAGAGATTGAAAATGTTTATAGTTCGGACTAGTTGAACAAACCTTATATTAGTCCAAAAATACAAAAAAGCCCGACTCTTGAAAGCAAGCTCAAAAATGAAGCCCCAAAGCACCATTGATCGACAATAGTCCAAAAATGGGTCCGATGAAAATTTTCTTCTAGATGAAATGGGTTTTCTCGGATTTTATAAGTACGACTAACATCTTGAGATGGTTAGGTTCGACCATATGGAGGCAAAGGTGGGCCGGAAAGCCCAACTCGTTTTAGGGATGGAGATCATGCTCCTAACCTCCCTTTCCAAGGGAGCTTAATTAAGCCATGTTTTTAAATTCTCTCCATCGCATAGGCACCGATTTACCACTTCTAATCTCTTAACTATGGACCTTACCACCAACATTGATTCTTCATCTACGACCTAATCCGTCAATTTTTATTTATATTTGCTTTTGTCCTATGAAATAATTATTATTAGTTAATTTTAAAAAATTGAAGATAATTCAAAAGCAATAGCCAATAGTTGCTACAAAACGAGTAAATTATGAATCAATCCATCTCTTTTTAAGAAACAAATTAATTAGTCTTTCTAGTTTCAAAACCTAATTGTTTAATTTTTTAAACCAAGTATTGATCACGATTAATTTAATATTTTTTTATTTTGTAAAATATATATTCTTTTTATCATTATTTTTATAAATTTTACTTATTTTTTATTTCTATTTCTTAAAATAAAAAATAAAAATAAATTAAAAATAACAAAAAAGATTAAATGATAGTATTTTAAAATAAAAAGACTAATTAATTTTTTTTAATTAATTAGTCTCTAGTTTCAAAAATTAATTATTTAATCTTTTTAACCGAGTGTTAATAATAATTAATTTAATATTTTTTCTATTTTATAAAATGTATATTCTTTTTATCAATCTTTTCATAACTTTTACTTATTTTTTAATTTCTATTTCTTAAAATCAAAAATAAAAATAAATTAATAATAAAAAAAAACTAAAAGATTGGATTTTAAAACAAGAAAAATTAATTAATTCATTTATCAAAACAAGATAGACTAATTTATATTTTACTTCAATTCTAAGGTCCCATCACCCAACTCAACAAAAAACCCTTGTACTTTGTAATAAGATTTTTTTTCTTATTTTTTTCTTTAATTTTTTTCTCTAATTAAATCAAAAAATAACTATTAAACCATCCATAATTATTTTGGAATTATCATAAATTTTATAAACCATAAATTATAATATTAATATTTACTCCAGGAACTCATCGTAGCCACATTGTCATTCTTAATTTGGGCCCATCGTAATACCAATGATTTTGTAGGGTCCAAATGTTTTCCTCCCAATACGCCTAAAAGTGTCTCTCTCGAGCCTTGTCACGTGTCCTCGATGCCTTCCACCTGTCGCTCACTCTACCTCTGAAATAGATAACGGCTGTCCAACTTTACCAACCAACCTGTTCTAAAACAAAACCCCCATTTCAGCATCTCCTTCTCTGGGTTCTCTACCAGAAAAACCTAAATAAGATGTCGAAAATCCCACCCGAAATCATAACAGACATTTTGCTTCAACTTCCGGTGAAATCCGTCCTCCGATTTAGATCCCTATCCAAACCAATTTGCTCCTTAATCGACGGCCCAGATTTCATCAATCTGCATCTAAACCATTCAATCACTACCAAATCTAATCACAGCATCATCCTCAAAGAATGGGATGTTTTCACCGTTGATTTCGATACTCTTTCTGCCGCGGTGGAGGTGAAACACCATCCGCTTTATGCCGGTGGTGGAACGGAGGTTATTGGTTCGGTTAATGGGTTGGTGTTTTTGAGGCATTCGGAGAGGAATATTGCGGTGTATAATTTGTCTACAAGGGAGTGGAAGAAATGTTATGTGCCAGAGATTGAGCCGCCGCGGCGGGATTTGACAACTGGGTATGTTTATTATGGGTTTGGTTATGATGCTGTTTGTGATGATTACAAAGTGGTGAGAATGGCTCAGTTTGTTAGAGAAGATGGCGGCGGCGGAGGTGATGGTGCTGGTGGTTTGGGTTGTGAGTATGAAGTTAAGGTTTATAGTTTAAAGAATGATAAGTGGAAGAAAATTGAGGGTTTGCCGATCCGGCTTAGGTTATTAAGCAAGCCCTTTTTTCATATTTTGCATAGGAGAGGGTATGGTGTTTTCGCTGGTCACGCTGTGCATTGGATTGCCCCTCAGAGGCGTCAACTTGGTATTAGAGATTGTGTTCTTGGTTTTGATGTTAGGGATGATAAATTTTTCGAATTGTCGCAACCGGATTATGAAAACAAAGGTATGAACTTTCAGGTTGATGTTGGGGTTTTAGAAGGGAATTTGTGTGTAATGTGTAATTATGATCATGTTTGTGTTGATGTGTGGGTTATGAAAGAGTATGGTGTGAAGGAATCTTGGTCTAAGATTTGTTCGGTTCAAGGGATTAAATGGATGAGTACTTTTATGTTTTTGAGACCTCTGGTTTATTCCAAGGATGGTGATAAGCTGTTGTTGGAAGTGAATGATGAGAAGCTTATGTGGTATGATTGGAAAAACAAGCATGCTAAGGCTGTAAAGATTCATGGTGGACCGAGTTCTTTTGGTTCTGAAATGTATGTGGAAAGCCTTATTAGGATAAACGGTAGTGATCGAGATGGCTGGAAGAAGCAGGAAGAGCTAGATGAGGAGGAGAAGAGGAAGGCAGATAGGCAGAAGAGGTAAAATATACTGAATTTGTTATGATTGATTCTCTTCAAGCATTTAATTTAATTGTCATTAATAAAATAGAACTCCAAGCAATATTTGATAGGTAGTCTGTTAAATTTTTAATTTTGGCTGACAAGAAAAATAACATTGTGGTCATGTTCATGGTCATAAATAGTGTTCTTTCTCTTTTAACCAATAGAATGTTGCCAAGTTATGCTAATTGTTGTTGGGGCTTCGATTTTGAATTTGGATCTCAAATCAATGAGAAGGCAGTATACATTTTCAATTTGGGTGACAAGTCAACGAGAAGTCTTCTTCTTCTATTGGGGTGACAAGTCAATGTATAAGTCAATCTAACAGCTTATGATTGGTTCCCTAGGAATAATACTTATGCAAGTGTGATTATATAAATACCCTGTGGCCATTTGTTTATTTTGATTTATTAGTAGTACCTTTTGTCATTTTTTTTTCCCTCTCAGGGATGATTTCCTGTCTGTGGGGTTCAAACTGAAGTTGTAAGACCAATAGAGAAACAAGGATACAGGACAGTGGCAAAATGGAAGACGGTAAGCTATTTGGTGCGGCTTGCTTGGACTAATGCTTTGATTCTGTTGTCTGGTTTAAGCTGTGTAAAGATCAAGGCAAATTGATGCAAGTCTTCATGCTTCGGAGGACTAATAGCTGCTTCCATTTTACCAGATATTCTTGCTTCTTTTTTCTGTTTTGCACAGGGTTGAGATACTGGAGAATATACATTTGTCTTGAAGACAGAATGAGACAAGAATACTTCATGCTGTGTATGCTCTCTGCCTTCTCTTGAGAGTACTATACAGTAATAGATTTGTTTCTAGGACATATTGTAATCAGAATAATCAGATACTTTATGTCTCAACAGTGCAAGAAAACTTTGAAACTCATGTATAGTGTTCCAAGACACAGAAGTTAGTGTGTGGACTTCTCACTCAAAAGTTGTAGGAGGAAACTTTTCTGAAATGAATAAAATGATGTCATTAATCCACTTTCCTACCCATTTATGAAGCTTTTTTTCTTAATTGCAAATTTGTGGGGTTTTGATGTCCATGACAACATCTGGTTGATAGATTCTATCAAATTTGACAAGCAATCTGGTAGTCGTGATCGCAACATTTCACGGGATGCTTGCTGTGGAAATTTATTGTTCGATGTGGAAAAATAACACTTTGCCGTGTAGATTCATTTTGGGGGAAGTCCATTGTAACCATTGGATTTGTCAATTTCCACAAATTAGCGACAAGGGAATCCCCAAGGACCCCTAGATTCAAATCCACTGGCCTGGCATTGAAGCAACCGTTTTGTGATTCTGATGTGGAAATTTCTGGGAATCATCTGATTTTGTCCTGTAGTTGAACTTGGTTATTCCCTTTTCAAGCGACTTAATTTGAGGTGCTTTGGTGCTCATCCTCAATTTTTATAGGATCTTTTAGCACTTTTACCGTACGATTCTTCTAGGGTCCTCAATTTTTCATACTTCCAAATGACAGCCATTACCCACCGCGACGGTTGCTATTTGTAAAGACCTAAACAATGTATTATATAAATTAAGGCACTAACAGTTTTTATGGTCACAGCGTATAGCTTATAGTCCAGTGGTAATAATATCTTATAAGAGGTTACGGGTTTTAATCTTAATAAAATAATTCTATTAAGAATTATGAATGTGAAATAGTTTATAGTTCAGCGGTAGTAATTTTTTAGAAGAGGCTTTTTCTTTTAAAAATTTAGATGTATTATACAATTTTTTAGGTTCTACTAATGCAAAATTTGGTATAGCTTTCAATAATTTTTAATTATAGAGCCAAATGATTAAGAAATAACAAATATATAAATTAAAATAAATTTATTAATAATAGTTAATGTATTCATAATATTTGTTACCGTGATTGATTTTTATTTTATTACATCGATAAGTTGCAATCTATAATTATAGTCATAATAATTTTTATAATTATGTCTGCCATGTAAAACTATGATAAGGATAATTCAAACATGAACTACTATGTCAATTGTCAAGCTCAGCCGTTCAAGATCCTTCGTGAAATGGCTGCTTGTTCGAACAAAAAAAGTGCTTTTGGTCAATTGAAAGTTTCCCTCGATTCAGCTTTGTCCCATTCATTTAGAGGTTTCTGGTCTGGTCATGTTTTTGGGCTCTCGAGTCTCTTTACAGATGTGTGAATAGCGTCTAAAGTGCAAGCGTACGAGGGAATACAAGCTATTTCTTTTTTTTTGTTTTTTTGCCGTCGAAGCTAAAACTGCTAATTTCTTCAAAGACAAATCATTCCATAGGGGATAGTTTTTTTATTTAGCTCCTTTTACCATTTTCACGCGGTTTCTTCTTCCTGCAGTCTGTGTATTCATCAGACAGACTTCAGCCTTTTTAACTATCTAGGGCAAGCCCCATTTCCTCCCTTGTGCGAAAAGTGGAAAAGGCAATTTCCTTGCCTAGCTACGATGCTTACAAGTTGCTGTAACCAAAGTGTTAAAAAGATGCTTCTCGAGTAAAAAAATAGGGTTATTCTAAGTGGGTTTGCTCCCTTCTAGGCACTAACAAAGTGACCTTCCTACATTGAGAGCATCTTGTAAGTGGACCAATCAACTTGTCATTAGTTTAACCAGCAGCAACAAGTTTTTGTCTGAGACATTGGACCTCCCCTGGGCCATACGGAAATTGATTGCCTTGAAAGATTAACTGTGGATTCTTGTTGTTTTAGAGGTAAGTAGAGGCATGAAGACATGAATTCGTACCAATGAAGTATTATTGTTGATAATCGGGTAGAATTTGGTGGTGTTAACTCAAATTTGTTACATGGCTAGTTCTTTAAGAGGTATTGTTCTACGTGAGAGGTGGTATTTGGAGTTTATAAGCTATTGTTGGTATCGATGAGGGATACTGATACAAAAAAAAACTTGGAAGTCGAGAGCCCATAGCCAATCTCCACGAACGGCGTCAATGATCATTTTGGCTCAAACCTGCTACATGACTGGTCTTTCAAGAGATATTGTCTTAGGTTCGGATTTGGATTCATTGACTTATAATAGGTTTTATCTTGAAAAGATAGTTCTTGGGTGAAAAATATTAATACTTTCACATAGTAAAATTTTCAAATTGTTTAAAAAGAAAAAAATGCTTCAAATTTGTCTTCATGCTTTGAGTTGGTTTTTAATATATCTTTTTAGTTAAAATTTTTAACCAATTCATCAAAATTAAACATTTGATTTGCATATAGTGTTTAATTTAATAAAATCATCTTTATTATTTGATACCAATGATCTATATCCATTAATATATATATTAATTTTTAATGAATTAATTAGTCAAAAATTTGATCAGAATGATAAATTAAAAATCAGTCAAAACATAAAAATAGATTAGAAGTTTTTTTAATTATTATTATTCAAAATATATTGAAAAATTAGTTTATTATATAAGGATATGTGAGGATATTAAAAAAAAAAAAAAACTGAAACTTATAAGTTATTTAAACTCTTGACTTCAAATGGATATGAGATATTGGTATTATCTTAATACAATTGTTAAAAGACCGTTTGTTTGATAGAATTATTCCTCGTAGACCTTGAATTCGAGCATCTCAAAAAAGATACCTAGTGAATAAAAGGGCCACTACTGATCAGTGTCGCATCAACGTCCAGTGCATGGCATTCGCTAGGATTGCTTTTCTTTTGTTTGGTCTTTGATATTTTGGTGTCAATTGAATTTTTAAAAAAGTTAGCTTAAAATATGCATTATTCACTTGGATTTCTTTTCTTTTGTTTGGTCTTTGATATTGTGGTATCAATTGAATTTTTAAAAGAGTTAGCTTAAAATATGCATTAGAATACTAATAAGTTGTTGATCAAGTGGTAAGCGAGTTTAGTTTTCTAGCGAATTTTCTATCAATATACAAAGTTCAAATTTTAAAATTACACTTATTGAAAAAGGTTAAATTTTATCTTTTTAACTTCAAATAGCATTAGTCTTATCCCCAAAATAAGATGAAAATACATTGATAAAAAAAAGAAAAATTGCATTATAGGACACATTAATGTACGGAGACGTCTATACTTCTCTTTATTTTAAAACTTTTGATCCTTCATCAAGGATTCAAATTTTACAACAATTTTTGTTCAATGTTATGAAGAAGATAATATATTGGTCCTCCATCAAAGATTTAAATCTTACAACAATTTTTATGCAATGTTATGAAGTTTGACTAAGAAGATAATATAAGTTTGGAAAGAAGGTCTAATATGTTGAAATTAAATAAATTTAATGTTAAATTTGTCTTTATATTTTAAAATAAACAAATTATATCCATGTACTTTAAGCGATGTTTACAATATGTTTTTCGATGAATTTTTTCGACCAAACCATAAAAAATGAAATCATTTGACTTGTATATGACTATTTTTTTTATATCTAAAATGCCTATAAAAAAAGTGATTTGCAAACGTTCAATTGAGGAGCATTTTCCAAAAAAAAAATAATAATGTGGAAGTCATGTGATTTTTTCAATTGGTTTACACTACAAGAAAGCCAAAAAATAATGACAGATTTTTCCGTTGCTATTTGCATTAACGACGGATTTGTGACAACAAATTTTCTCTAGTAAAAGTCATCCTCGCTATTTTATTAGAGATGAAAAATTTTTTTCATCACTAATCGGTGATGCCTAATCCGTCGCTAATTCATAGAACTCGTCGTCGTTAAAGCTTTGTAAACGATCGTCTCTCCGATCTTGTAATTATTGCAAAAGCTGTCATTAATTGGAAATTTTCATTGCTAAATAGCAATGGAATTTCTATCACTAACTTCGTTCTCTCTAAATTGTCTTGAAGTTTCATCACTATTTAGTGACCATTGTAATTTTCGTCACTAGATCGTAGTAAATATTTGTCTTTTGGGTCTCATATTTATTGTAAAATTGTCGCTAATTGTCAATTATTGTCGCTAAATAGCGGCTGAATTGTCGTCGCTAAATTGTTCTCATTAAAGTTTTTTGCGGATCCGTCGCTAAACGAAAGAAATATTTTTTATTTTTAATATAAATTAATAGTTGTTTAATATTAATGATAGTAACAAACAACTAAAAAGAATACCTTATTAAAACACGATATGTTATTTAATAAAATTAAAATAATATAAATTAAAATCAAATAAATATGTAAATGCGTTAAGGTGTACGAAAACATTAAAAAACTTAAAAAAACAAGAATTATAGTGCTCATCATTTTCTCGCTTCATCTTCCGACTATTGTGTATTAAGAGAAATGACTAACTCCCGAGTTGTGAGAAGGTCGGTAGGATGGAGACGAGTCCGCTACAAGTCCCGTAACAACTCTATCATTATTTGCAATCGATTCTATTAAGAGTTAACTTGACTAGCTTATTGCTAAATGGTAATCTCCATCCCCTAATGTCGACGAAGGCTAATGGAGAAGGTGCGAAACGGGAGTTGCTACCTAGCTAATCGGGGAGAATTAAGAAATCCTAAACAAATTGGTCCGTATAGATATCCGGATAAGGGGTCGGTTACGTATGAAAAAAATATAACATCACCGCTATCTCATCCTACTTGAGGTAGGCTGCATTGAATGCATATGAAAATAAAAATCTAATTTTTACTATGTTATATTTCTATGTCTATTTGAATGGGTTTATTTTGTTGGGATGAAATAGCAGAGTAATTCAAAGTTTAGGTCGGTCCAGAGGCCACTACCCATATTCAAAGGGAAAAGATGGGAGAGATTGGAAGTTTGGCTAATTTTTAGTGATCACAAGCCTATACCGATAAGTAGGTGAGTTTCTAAAGATTGATAGCCTTCATTGATATAAATAAGAAGTTTTCGAGAGCTTCACTAACGTAAGTGAAAACCCACTCGTCAACTTTAGATCATGAGTTTAAGAAGTTATTAATAACTTCGTCACACAAGTGAAAAGCTACCGACAACTCCATTTTGCTCAAACAAGGAGTAGATAACTAGTTTGGGAAGTCATGGATAATTTCATCACATAAGAAAAAAGCCATCAATAACTTCATTTCAAATGAACAGAAAGTAAATAATTTGATTTGAAAGCCACAAATGGTTTCATTCATATAGGTGAAAAGCCATCGATAGCTTCATTTCATGCACACAGAAAGCAAGTAAAATGACTTCGAATCTATCATATAAGTGGAAAGCCACCAATAGTTATATTTTGAGCAAACAGAAAACAAGTAAAATGACTTTTGAAATCACCTGGTCGATTCATCACATAAGGGAAAAGCCACCAATAACTTCATTTTACACAAACAGAAAGCATGTAACTTAATTTAGAAGTCACAAGCGACTTCGACCATATAAGTGTGAAGTCAACGACAAACTTCAATTCAAACAAATAGACAACGAGGCAAAAATCTCAAACACAATTAAACAAAGCATTTGATAACTTAATCATCCATAACACAACATTTCTATCATTCTCATTCATCATTTTAAATAATCCGGATAGTTCGAAGTTACTCAAACATCATAAGAATATTATGAGTTCCTTTTTCAATCAATTTTACTTCTTTCAATCTTAATGAAAACTAATTATTTTAGTAAGTCGAGAAGAAGGAAATAACTATTTGTATGTGTCAAAAAGGCTATTGTACGGTGATTGAAATGCCCCGAGTTAGTTATGAAATGACCAAGATGCCTTTGCATGTAAAAAATATCAAAATGCCTCTACACTATAAAAATACCAAGCTGCTCATGAAAGACCAAATAGTCATTGTTGATTGCTCGATCATCATCCGATGGTCTTTTAGGTGCATGAACTAAACCACACGGTGGAGGAGGCTATCATCGACTCATCTATGGCAACGACAATCATTGTCGACTCGTTTGTGGTGGTAACAATCATTGCCGCCAGACGAAGGAGAGAGATCGACAACTTGAAAGTTTTTGCCATTTCTCCCTTTCTTCCCGATGAAGATTTCAATGAGATTAGGAGGTTTTTAGGACACTAATTGACTTATGAAATTATGAGGAGTATTTTTACGATGGTTAGGAGGTCCGACAAATAAAGTCAAATTCAAACCTAATTCTATTTGACTAACAATTAATTATCAATTTTCAATATAAATAAAATTAAAAATCAACTAATTAAATCAAAATAACCTAATTAATTAATTAAACCTAAATCAAATTAGCCTAAATATTAATTCTAATTCAAATCTAATTAAATTTAAACCTAAATCAAATTAACCCTAATTCAAACCTAATTAAATTTAACTAATAATCAACTAATAATTTATAATATAAATAAAATTAAAAATCAACCAATTAATCAAATTTTACCTAATTAATTAATTAAACTTGAATCAGATAAATCAAATTGACCTAATCAATTCGATTCAAACCTAATTACATATATCTAACAATTAATTAATGATTTCCAATATAAATATAAATTAATAATTAATAATATTTAACCTAATTAATTAAGTAAATCTAAATCAAATCAACTAATTAATCAAAATTAACATGATTCATGAATTAAACCTAAACTAAATCAACCAATTAAGCAAAATTAGTCTAATTAATTAATTAAAACTAAATCAAACTAACAATTAATTAACAATTTAACATAAAAATTAATAAAAAATAATAGTTTAACAAATTAATCCAAATTAAACTAATTAATTAACTAAATCTAAATCAAATCAACAAATTAATCAAAATTAATCTAATTAATTAATTGAGCCTAAATTAAATCAACTAATTAAGCAAAATTAACCTAATTAATTAAGTAAACCTAAATCAAACTAACAATTAAATAACAAATTAACCTAACAATTAACCAAAAAATAATTTAACAATTTAATCAAAAAATTAACAATTAAAACTATACAAAATTATTAATCAACCAATTAAATTTAAATTTAACCTAATAATTATGAAAATAACCGACAATTAACCAAAAAACAAAAAGGAGAGAGAGAGAGAAAGAGAACTTACCTTAATTCTATAGATTAGAGAAGGAGAGGAAAGAAGGATAAATGATGGATATTTAAGGAGAAAGGAAAAAGGAGTAGTCTGTAGATTGATGGCGAGTGGAGGTTGCACTTATTCGACGATTTTTTGGGGGAAAGGGGAGGTGCCAGCAAGCTGGAGAGAAGCGGTTAGAAGAGAAGAAATGGGGGAAGAAGAAGGGAAAGGAAGGTTAAATTAAGGATTGAGATTAGCAACGGATGTGATCTCGTCACTAGTCCGTCGCTATTTAGCAAGGGACACTTACGTCCGTAGTTAAGCCCTCATAGAATGGGCAACCAATTAATTCTAGAAGGATGCCCATTTTTTTACAAATAACGACGGAAAAGTTTCTATCGCTAAATTGTGACTATTTGGTGACGGAAATTAATTTTTCATTGCTAATCGTTCGCAAAATAGGTAGCCAATCAATTCAAGAAGGCTGCCCATTTTTTACAACTAGAGATGAAAACTTTATTTTCGTCGCTATTTTATCATCAACTCGGGCGACTCTTTAATTTCAAAAGGTTATCCATTTTTTAAGATTTAGCAACACATTTAGGACTTTAGCAACAAAAAATTCGTCACTAAATAAAAAAAAATTAAAATTAGTGACGAAATCTAAATCAATTGATTATTTTAGGAGCAATTTCGTCTTTAAAAAACTAAAGAATATTTTAGTGCCACAAATAGCAATGAAAATTACGCCTATCACCGATAATCTGTTGTCGGATCATCTCTATTATGTCGTTAAATAGAAAATACACTATTTGATCGCTATTTACTCACTATTTAGAGACGAATTGTGTTCTATTTTAAAATATAAAAACTAATTGAACACTAATTCCATTAGATAAGAACATATTTGACCATTGTCCCTAGAAGTTTGATTTCCATATTTTCATCTTGAACGTGAATTTAATAGAATGTTGCAAGAAAGAAATTTGTAAAAAAATTACATTGATGTAGTTGAATAACTAGCTTAGAATTAGCAAAAGAATTTAAGTTTTATAAGCAAAAATTGATCCACGAATGCCATAACTGTTTTTTTCCCCTAAAGTAATGCTATTTCACAACAAAAAATAACAATAATAAACTATAAGATAATTTATAAGCCATCCAGTCACTCGATCAATGTGAGAGTTATTGGTGGGTTCAACCAAATCTAATGTCTTACAATTTTCTAATCAAATATTCTTGTTCAAATAGTTTTATTGATTATGTTTCAATGACCAATAGAGTTCACATAGAATTATACCAATTTATGCAAAGAAAAGGACTAAAATGTAATGGTACTGAAACATTAGAGACCAAAATAATACAATTCTTTCAACAAAAGTCAATCAATGTGACAAAAAAGCCACTCACTGTCCAAATTCCTGTTAACATTAACTACCCTTCATGTTTACAACGACTGGAATTAATAGCAAGATTCATCCTATATTCTTTAGATATTTTTTTTAATATAATCTCTTTATTTTTTGTTTATGGAGTCTTTTTATTTTTATTTCATGCATCCAATTTTTCGGATAAAAATTACAAACAGATTAACATATAAAATTAAAATGGAACATGATAAAATTTTATCCCGTATTACTTCTATATAACATGTCATTCTATTTGTTATTTGCTATTAAAAAAATTGACTAACATCTTATTGAAAATGAAAAATTAAATATATATATATAGTAAAAGGATTAAATAAATAAATAAATAAAAGAGTAGAAGGCCCATAAAGAAAATTTCAAGAGTGCGATTAATCCTGAACTGCTACATTAACAAAAACAGATATTTTTACTTCCAACAGCTTTCTCTCTCCTCCACACTCTCTCACAGAATTCCACAGAGCTCAAAGACCTAAAAAAACAGTGGACTTCATCATCATCACCATGTCAAGTCTCCCTCTTGAAATGATAGCAGAAATCCTCTGCAGATTAACAGCAAAGGAGCTTCTCTGTTGCAGGTCTGTATCTAAACCATGGTGTGCTTTAATTGATGGTCCAAGCTTCATTAAATTACATTTAAAGCACTCTATGGATACAAGTTCCAACCTTTACATCATCCTGAGAACTACTTCACATGTTCACTACATGGGTTTTGATCAAAATTTAGTTTTAAATGATTGTGTTACTTTGAAAGAGTTGAATCATCCTTTGATGTGTTATAATCATGGGATTAAAGTTTTAGGTTCTGTTAATGGGCTGCTTTGCATTTCTAATGTTGTTGATGATATTGCTTTGTGGAACCCATCAATTAGAAAGCATCGGGTGGTGCCCTTTTTGCCTATTGAGCTGAAAAGGTATTTTGGGACTAAATCTTGTCATGTGTATGTGTTTGGATTTGGGTATGATTGTGTCCGGGATGATTACAAGGTTGTTAGGATTGCGCAGTTTGGAGGTGGGGGGATGAGGAGTTTTGAGTCTGAGGTTAAGGTTTATAGTTTGAGGAAGCAATCGTGGAGGAGGATTGGTGATATGCCTTATTGTGTTCACTATCCAGGTGCAAATGGGGTTTTTGCCGGTGGTGCTTTACATTGGGTTGTGGGTGAGAATCCTGAATCAAATGTGGCGAATATAGTTGTTGCATTGGATTTAGAAGCTGAGGATTATAAGGTGGTGCCACAGCCTGAGAACAAGGATAAGAATTTTAATATTGATTTAGGGGTTTTGAGAGGATGCCTGTGTTTTCTTGCAAATTTTCAAGGCGAACGTGTTGATGTGTGGACGATGAAGGAGTATGGGGTAAAGGAGTCTTGGACTAAACTGTTTTCGGTTGCACGGCTTGAGTTCATTGGGTTTCTTAGAACTCTTAAACCTTTAGCTTATTCAAAGAGTGGTGATGAAGTTCTCATCGAACATGACAACTTCGACCTTTATTGGTATGATCTGAAGAGGCAACGAGTAAAGAATAGGATTCCTGGAATACCATATTCGTTTGTAGCAGAGACTTTTGTAGAAAGCCTTATTTCCCTCAATCCCAATAGGCATCTTGATGGAAGGACACAAGATGAAAATGAGGAGTTGAAAGATAGGAATAAGAGGTATGCAGTGTGGAATTTTATGCTGTCATGTTTCGTGTCTATTTATAGTTCACTTGACGTAACTTGTTATTTTGGCTTGGTTTTTGTTGTCAGGGATGATTTCTTATCCGAGGGGTTCAAATTGGTCTTATAGTTCAACAGAAGAAACAGGAGAGCAAACACAGAAAAGAGGTAATTTGCTGCATTAAACTTTATCAGTTGACATAAAACTCGCTACATTCTACAATGTTTGTCAGTTTCTTAGTTTTAATAGCAGATTGTTTGCAAATTGGGATGGGTAGTCTATCAGGAAGTATGAAATAAGAGGCTGCTTGTTTGTGCATTTTAGAGGACTATCCATTTCTTTCGCTCAACAAAACTTTTAGTTTACCTTCTCTGTCCTTTGGTGCCTTTATTTCTCTCAGGGCTGATACTGGCAGATGGAGATGTAATTGAGCATATGAGAAATTTTACAGATGAATCAAAGAACAGATAACAAAAACTATGCTCATTATATATGTCATGCACTCACATGCTTCTTTCTTTAAGCAAAGGTACTTGGTCAGGTATTGTCTTATTGAGGCTATATACTGTCCATGTATTATTCTCTGCAACTTGCATAGGGTGTGAAGACTTTAATCAAATAGGATGTTCTGTAACTGGTAGTACATTTAGGCATTCATGGTCATGACTTTACATGATATTTACCTAATCCGCTCAGCTCTACATGTTTGCTGAAGTTGCTTCTTCAATTGCGGAAATTATTTGATTACCAGGGCATCTGGAGCCTATTCCTCAATCCTGGTTCTTCCAGAATGGTTTCATATGGATATTGGAGCAATAACTCTGTTCCTCAGGACACTTGAATTTCTGCAGGAACCAAATTGCTCCAACTAGGTTGTTTTTTCAAAATTAATAAATTTCCCCACGTGAAAATAATGTCTATATCTTAAACCTAATTTGTTTTTTACAAACAAGTGAGAAGCCTCAAAAGCATTTAGTCCTTCGTTTTAATGGAAAATTCGGGAGGTCTGCTGTTCCATTTGTATGTTCCAAGATTATTTCTTTATCTTTTAGGTTCTCTTCAGATCTTCACATGTTTGGCTTTGAATATTTAGATATTTGGGATTGTTTAAATTTGTTAAATTTTTCTGTCATTCTAGAAGATTAAGCATTTAATAGTTGTAGTTAGCAACCTAGTATTTGACTGGTTTGGCTGGTGAATGATGTGGCATGACTAGTTCATCGTTACCTTAATCTAGTCCAAAATTTTCCCAAAACTGAACCAGAAGCTTTGGTATGGACCAACTTGAAGCAGCTTATGCTTTCTTGTCTTGATAGAGTGAATATAGTTGAGCTGATTACACTGCTGGAAATTTGCTGGTGTGTATATGGTTCAACGAGTTCGGAAATTAACTTCTAAAGATTATTGTATGAGACAGGTTACACATATTCAGCTTTATATTAGTTTCTGAGGAAAAAAAAAAAAATTAACCTTCCCTGCTAAATGCTTTGAAGGTTAGTAATAGAAATGCCATCATGATATAGCTTCAAGCTTCATCATGGGAGAAGAGAGAGAAAGACGAATGCAAGCTGGTAGGATCTGGGAAGTCTTTAATGATGATTGATTGCTTTTACATTGAGATATTTGATGCTTTCTTTATTTTCCTAGTGCTATGCTGTGAATGGAAACTCTTTGACTGTAGATTATTATTATTTTTTTTAATGGGTTCCTTGGTTGATATGGAAAGATGATTACATGCTGGTGAAGGGAATTTAGTTCTGATAAAGAAATGTGATTATCGGAAGATCAATGTCATCACAAGAACTTGGTTATTTGTTTTGCAGGATAAGATGGGCAGATATGTTCGGATGAGTGTGTTTAGGTTGCAAAAATGCAATTTGGTTGAGAGTTCTGAGCCATGTCAACGTAGATTTAGTCAATTATTTGGTTGGGAGTTCTGAGCCATGTCAACGTAGATTTAGTCAATGCTTGTTCTCAATGTTAACCTATTCATGCCAATTTTCCTTTCTTCAACAAAATCGGGCTTCAGCAATGGATGATGAAGCTACCATGCTAGGAAGGATTGTGATGACAGATTTACTGTAAATATCAGAGCTCGTTAGTTGATTGCCTGAAAGTAATGTAATTTCCTGAATAAGCCTCAAGAGCTTGGAGAATGTACTATCTAATCAATACCGACAAGGCAAGGAGAGGACGGTTTGTTGGTGCTCCCCACTTTGTGAAGTTGGATAGCTTGGTTATATTTTATGGATAGATTTTCTGAGTTGTAAAATATAATCTAGGATTACACTTCGACTGAGGATTGATGTTGGAGAATTTACTATCTTGTCTGAGCTGTATCTTCCTTTCTCGGTATTCCTTCGTTTTCATTTCAATAACTTGGGATCTCACTTGGGGCTACCATGATGGGGACTAGCGAGCCACAAAATTCTGAATTCTGGATGATAAATGTGCGGTGTATATAGTGATTAGTGACAGTAGAGCTGAAAAATTATATTCTTTCCTGGCAGGACATGGGGATTTTGGATGATAATCTAGTACTGACAAGTTGGCAGAACATACAAGGCTTCGTTTAAACCTGTTTCTCGCTTACTTGGATTAAGATTAGGCATAGTTTCAGCCGGATTAACGATAAACCTCATAGAGGATTGCATCTCTTTTGTTTCTTAAAAGAGTCCCCCGGTGAAGATTTAACAGGCTTCATCTCATTAAAGTCGCAAAAATGAGGGCATGGACAATGGATTATGGACTAAACAGTTCTAATAAAACGGATCTTAAACGCCCACAGTTCTAAGAAAATGGATCTGAAAATGCATCCTTCAAAAGAAATCCAATATAAAAAGACTCAAAAGAAACACAACAGCAACGCACCCATCTCTTTATCACTATCATTGCAAAATAAAATACGGGCTGTTTGCCTATGGTGGCATTCATTGATGAGCAAGTGAAATGAAAGGAAAAGACAATGGGACTAATTTGGTTATTGGGCTCATGAGCATTAAATGAATGTGGGAGTTTCAGGTGATCTTTGTTAGGGTTATGTGGGAAGGAGAAGGTCTGAGGTTGTGAAGATTCATGGCGCTGCAGAGATTGCTATAGATGAGATTTGTGTGGAAAGCCTTGTTATATAAGTAGTGGTGATGGTGGTCAGACTGATGGGAATGAATGAACACAAGAGGTCAAGAAGAGTAAGAATAACAGGTGGAAACAAAAACAAAAGGTTTGTTTTTTCTATTCTAGGTATTCTAACTAGTTCCTTTTCATTATATTGCTAATTTCTGTTATTGTTTGCACCCTTTTTCCCCTTTGAATGATGTAGTTTCACCATTAGTTTAGGTTAAATTCTGTTCTCTTTCGTTCTTTAATAAGAGTAACTTGTGTATGGATCTGGTTTGCAAGAAATTTGGATGAATTCTTATCAAAGGGTTTCAAGCTGGTTTTGGGAGTGACATGAACATAGGCAAATCAATAAGCTCTATTACATTATCCTACTTGTTTCTTCCTATAGTTTGACTCATGGATAAATTTTGATTCATTCCTTTATTGCTTTGTAACTATAAAGTTTGCATGATTCGAAAAATGTTCATAGAAAAAGCACAAAAAAAATCAAATAGTTAATATCCCGAAACCTAGTGCTACAAACAATAAAAAAGAATTCAAAAAGCACGGAAAGATGCAATATCGGATAAAATTATAAATTGCCATGAGGAGGTGGTTCAGCTGGGCGCTATTCCATTTCTATTGCCTAAAGCTATAATGATTTTTTAACTGTGATGCTTTGGTTTTTTTTTTTTTAAAAAAAAAATTGTGTTTTAGTATTTTTTTTTTTTTTTTATGTTAATGTGTAAAAAATGAGTATCAATGGAATAAAAAAAGATACTCATATTTATGAATAAATTATCCATTAACGTAAATGAATAATATTATTTTATCAATATTTAACTTATTATCTATTCGGATATTTTAAAAGGATAATTAACGAATAGGTCGAGCAGAGTTCACCCCGACCCGTTGCCATCTCTATCTCTAGACTCTACATGATCATTAGAGGATTAGATTAAAACCCAGTGGGCATGCTTAAGTAAGTCTCAGAATCTAGAGTAGATGATTGACACCTGCGGCAACCAGAAAGATTATCATATATAGAACACAATTTTTTTTTTTTTTTGGGGGCAGAATCTGCATGAATATAGGAATATGATCCCTAATGACACAGGATTGGAACACATTTCTTGGCGTACATCAACTTTCCTGCCCTAGCTTTGCATGATTGTCTATCTGGGAATTTGTCCCCTCTCCAGCCACCTGCTGGGGGATCCACCATGCCTTGGAAGCTCAACGAACTCTTAATTAATCAGATATCCTGACCTGTACTAGCATGTGCTTGGTGGAAATGAAATGCAAATGTAAGGGCAAAACAAGTTCTACCTGTACTATCATGACAAATTTATCTTCACAAAAAAAAAAAAAAAGTTTGTTTATGGTATTTCTGATATATGAAATGATCGAAAAAAAAAATTGAAATTCCATAGTATGTTTGAGTTTTTTAAAATTTGATTTGCTTTTGTACTTTACATGTGTATTAAAATGTATTTTAAGGTTTTAAATGAGTATCTTGAGGTTGTTAGAATCATTTCGACGCGTTTTAAATATGCTTTTAAAGCCTAACTTTCTAGCAATCAAAAGTCGCCGAAAGCTGTAAAGTTCGGACGATGCAAGCATGTTTCTTTCTTTTCTTTTCTTTTTTTCTTTTTTTTTAAATTAAAATGGCTGGCCTGTGCATTTCCAGCCCACGCACGAGCGGGCTTGGTCTTCAGGCCCAAGTTTCTGTTATTTTCTTTTAGCTTTTTGTTTTTTTTTGTTTTTGTAATTTTTTTTAATATTTTTATCATTGACTTTTTTTTTTTTAAGAATATGAAAAAATAATAATTACTTTTTGGATTGTCCAAATAACCATATAAGAAAGAAATATTTATGATATATTTTTCATGTTTAGACTAAACGTATATTTCAAATTATATTTTTTATTATTTAAAATTTATTTTTTGAAATTGCAATTTATTTTCAAAATTTATCATTCAATTAATTTTTCCCTTTCTTCTTAGAAAATTTTATTTGCTAAAAAATATAATTAACTTTTCTTTTTTGTCTAGAGTTTGGAAAAAGATTATATCAAAGATGATTAATTTTTTTTTTAAAAAAAAAACAAATAAAAAATAGTTTACATGATAGATTCTTATAATTTTTAAATGAAAGAGTAACATAAATCTAAATATATATTCAATTTAAAGACGAAAAGCACATTGCAAGTAATTTGTCCCAAATTTTTGAAAGAAATTTATTTTAAAAATATTTAATTAATAATTAAAAATTAAAAGTGAAAAAATAAGGTCTTTGATTTATGTGTCATAGTTGTGCATGAGTATTTGATATGTATGACTTAGAAATAAAAATAATATTAAAAAAAAAACCATCAGAATTTATGAAAAAATTAAAATTTTTTCGTATCATAAAAACAACGAGTTATTAAAATCAAAATATATTTAGGCCCATCAATCAAATATAAGTTAAGTAAAAAAAATCAAAATATATTTTGTAAGCAAAACCGCACCAACGCACGGGTCCGTTTACCAGTTAAGCTTAACACACCCATAAACCCTAATGGGTTAGGTCGGGTGGGTTTACCCAAAATATTTAGGCCCATCAATCAACAATATTTAGGTCCCATTCTTTCAAATTTGATTACGTAAGGCGCAATGCTTCTACAAATTCCTGATATTTTCAGCAGTGAAGAAACTATACTCTCCTTCCCATGAAAAAACATACACAAAAAAAGAAAGACTCCATCGAAGAGAATGCTCTAACCAGCAGAGATAACAGCCGATATTCTAAGCAGACTACCGGTTAAAGCTCTCAAACGTTTCAGGTGCGTATCAAAATCATGGTGCAAGGAAATCGAAAGTCCATATTTCCTCACCATGCATCTGCAGAAGTCATCACAAGCACACTCCAACCTGGGGCTTATCCTTGGAGATATATTTTCCACCGAGTTAAACACTGTAGACTTAGAGAAACTAAATCTCACCTCCGTAGAACTATTTGAAAGTAACAGAGGCAGGCTTATTGACGTAATAGACTCATGTAATGTAATGGACTGCTTGCATTGTTATTGTCTGATGAAAAGACTATTGCCCTCTATAACCCAAGTACTAGAGAAGAGAAAGTACTACCCTTTTCACACTCTGAGTTACACATACCAAGTGGTAAGGTATATGACGAAGCAAGTTGGGAATGGACTCTTTATGGATTTGGGTATGACCCCATGAACGAAGACAATAAACTTGTGAAAATTGTTGACTATTATGGTGATACTCTTGATAAGTGTTTCTTTTCTGAGGTTAAAGTTTATAGCTTGAAGTCTAATTCTTGGAAAAGAATCAAGGGTTACCCTTATTACAGTATTGTCCAAAGCGAGCATCACCCTGATAATAACAGGGTGTATGGTGTGTTTGCTAATAGTGCAGTTCATTGGGCAGCAAGTACTGAAATGATAGTGCAATGCGTTTTGCCAAATATAATCGTTGCATTTGATTTTGGAGTTGAAGGGTTTAGGACAATACCGAAACCTGCAGATTATCTGCCCAATGAGCATCATTATTTCGATTTGGGGGTTTTAGGAGGGCGCTTATCTCTGCTTTGTACTAAGATTGGGTTGTATGTGAAAATATGGGTGATGAAGGAATATGGTGTGAAGGAATCTTGAAGCAAGTTGTGCACTGTTATTGCGCACCTGCAAGTGGATCCATTTAGTTTTTATATCAGACCTTTAGCTTAATTCAAAGAGTGAGAACAAAGTTCTATTGGAATTGGATTATTCAGTTTTTGTTTGGTATAATTTGAGAAGGAGAAAATCCGAGCGTGTCAAGATTCGTGGGGTTACAGATATGGTTACAACTGAGATTTTTGTCGGAAGCCTTGTTACGCTAAACAGTGGTGGCTGTGGAGACGGTGGAGGCGGTAAGATTGATGGGAAGAGGATGCACAAGAGAAAAAGAATTCAAGAAGAAAAAGGTTCGTTTTTTTATTCTTTTTGTTCGAGCAAGTTCCTTTTTATGGTTTCGCTAGACAGTTAAGTTGCTAATTGTTTGCATTTATAGCTAGTGATGATCAATTTTGCCATGTAATTTCGAATTTTTCTATCGATCAATACTATTGATGTTTGTATTGTTTCGATCGAACTTTTTTATTCTAAGTGGCAAGGCATGGTTCATGCCCAAGGCACATACTAAAACAAAACCAAAAAACTAGTGGGATTTTGCAATTGCTTGCTTTGCGTTCATAAACTATACTACCTACCTAAGCAATGCCAACGCCTCATGTTCTCGCAATTCCATGATCGCCTTGTCGATCGAACTCATCAACAAAGATATTTCAGAACTTACGTACCCACTGCACATGTTGCAATTGCAGGACTTAACTATGATAGTTTTGATTCTGGAAGGTATGAAACTACTCGGAAATTCTTGGTGCTCCAAAGCAATGTCATACCCCTCTATATTTGCTTGTCTCTCACGAATTAATGCCAAAAAACGCATTTAAAAACTTGGGCGAGGCAAGTAGCAACATCATCAAACTTGGTAATTTTCTTGTTTTTCTTACATTTTGATGGAAGAAAATTTTATTGCAAACAGCAGCATAGGATTTGAAAGATCCTTTGTACAATAACATTTAGATGGGTTTACCCTTTACAATAGGATTTGTGAGTATATATATATATATATATATATATATATATATATTGAGTTAATAATATCAAAATTATTAGATAAATTGAGTTAAAATTTTCTAATTTTGCCTCCCAAAAATAACATGATTTTTTTTAAAAAAATGTGCCCTGTCTATTAGGTTTTTGTTGAGAAATTAATAGAAAAGCTGGAAAAACCCTCTCAATTCCTCTTCCAATTTTTTTTTTCTATTTTTAAAAATATTTTTCTAGATCTGTAGAGAGAATTATAACAATTAGAAGCAATTTTTTAGGGGTTTCTATTAATTTCTCAGTGGAATCATAATAGAAGGGGCGCATTCAAAAAACCATATTATTACGGGGATAAAATCAGAGATTTTTTTAGTTCAATCACGTGTTAATTTGTTTTTGGCTCAAATTTTAATTTAGAGGGGTATTTTATAATTTAGCCTTGAATCAAATATATTTTACGGTCAAAAAGATTTGAAATCCTTATGTGACAAGCAGACACCGACCCAAGTTAATTGCTTGGGTCCCAAGAAACACAAAAGTTAAGTTCAATTTGATAGACCTTATGTGACAAGCAGGCACCGACTCAGGGAAATTGCTTGCGTCCCAGGAAACGCAAAAGCTGAGTTCAATTTGATAATCCTTAAAAGGAGTCGGACTCTGAATAAAATGAAAATTCTGCTCTAATTCTCAAGAAAGCAAGCGATAAAACCTTCGAAGGACAGGAAGGCAGTTCTGAGGGAAACAACGTAATACCATGATGAATCAACCGGAGAATATAATAGCTCACATACTAAGTTATCTACCCGTGAAGAGTCTCTTCCGTTTCAAATGCGTCTCCAGATTATGGTGTTCCATGATCGAGAGTGAATATATGATCAAAATTCACCTTAGAAACCATAACAGCAGCACCAAACTTAGCCTCATCCTTCAAGACGCATGTTTTTTAACGCCGAAGATCTTTTCAGTCACTGATGTCGGTTCGCAGAGCAAAGCTGTAGAACTCGAAGGGCCATTCGGTCTCAGGACCAGAATATTGGGCTCTTGCAATGGTTTGCTTTGCGTTAGTCAAACAGACATGGAAGACGGGGTGCAGTACAAAAGATCTGGGAAATATTACATCTCACCGAAGATTGCCTTGTGGAACCCATCGACCAAGAAGTTTCATATCCTACCCTTCACACCTATTCGAGTTACAACATGGTCTCCTCTGTATGGAATTCGTGACGATCTCAAAGTTCAATATGCATTCGGGCATGATTCGGTCAAGGATGACTACAAGGTTTTGAGGATCGTACTGCGGATTCCTGCAATGGTTGATCCTGATGAGTTTATACTTCAAGTTATGGTATATAGCTTGAGGGGTGATTCATGGAGAGCAATTGTTGCACCTAATTATCTTCGGTTCATAGTTGGGCTAGAATATGTGCTAGTTTGCGACGCTTTTCATTGGTTGCTAATCCAAGGGCAATATCAACTAAATATTGTTGCATTTGATATTCAAAGAGAAGAGTATTACACAGTACCACTGCCTAACTTGGAAAGTAATTCTGCTCCTTCCTGCCGGAATTTGAGTGTCATCGGACAATGGCTTTGCTTAACCTCTACTAATGCCGGCATCGGCAACGTTGATATATGGGTGATGAAGGAATATGGGGTGAAGGAGTCATGGGTTAAGTTGTTCTTGCTTGACCAATCTTCTTCAGAATACTACAGTACTGTTCGGTATAATCTTGTGCCTTTTGCGTATGTTAAGGACAGTGATGATCATAAGGTTCTCCTAAAAGTCCTGTTTGATCAAAGTCTCATGTGGTATGATCTAAGGTCGAAAACATATGAACATGTCGAAATTCCTGGTGCTCCATGGATATTTCATGCCTGCAGTTTTGTTGGAAGCCTTGTCTCTCCTCTACCTCCAATGAAGAAACAAATTAAAGATATGTCAAGAACGTGAGTACTAAACAAACAAGAAGAGGACAGTAGGAGGCGAAATAGCCAATCAGGTCCTTTTAATCTTCTTTTTTCCTCTCTTTTTTAACGTTGGTTATTTACGGTTGTTGTGGGTGCTGATTAATGGTGGTGGTATTTATAGAATTTGTTATATTTTCATTTTCTTATTAATTAAGTTCACTCTGTAAAATAACTAAAAAAAAAAAAAAACACATACTTTTTAGAGTAAATTATAAATTAGTCCCTCTAGTTTCAAGAAACTAATTAATCAGTCTACTTCATTTCAAAAATTAGTATTTAATCTTTTGATATGTGTTAACCATGTTTAATTTAATATTTTTTTCACAAAATATATTATTTTCTCATCAATTTTTTCATAATTTTTTTTATTTCTTAAAAAAATAATAAAATAATTTGAAAAAAAACAAAATAAAATAAAATTATAAGTAGATTTAAAAATATGCTCACTAAATAATTAGTTTTTAAAACAAGATAAATTATTTAATTCATTTTTGAAAACAAGAGAGAATAATTTATAATTTGTTATATATATATATATATATATATATATATATATATATATATATATATATATTATGCGAAAGTTTTTCTATCTTGACTTTAGGTTAGGAGCAGGAACTACATAAATTGGACTTTAATGAATGGAATTAAAAAGTCCTTCAAAACATTATGATGTGGATTCACCATTTTATATATATATAAAATAAGCTAATGAGGCAAAACTAGCTTAGCTTTTTTAAAAAATCTGTCCAGCCATTTCCATCTTTCAGCAGGAAAAAAGTGTCTGCCAGCTGCCTGAAGCAACAAAATCTAAGCAAAACGTACGTAGAATGATCATTTTGCAAAATTAAGCTAAGTAATCAACCAACCTATGCATTCGCATAATCCAGATGCCTATTACTTTATTCCAATTTGCCTATGAAATTGAACCTCTTCGTCAAAAAGGAATACTAAAATAGGTGGAATAAAACATTGATTGGTAATTGCATAGATTAGTAGCTTGTAGACCTAGCTAGCCATGGAAATTTGAAAATGACAATTGTTTTAAGTTAATTATTAGGGAAAAAGTTGAGAAGAAAAGAAAGAAAAAAAAATTTATGTATTTTTATCATGAATTTCAATGGAAAGAAAGAGGAAGCAACTTAGAAGTAGCTCGTCAAATTCTAAGAAATCATATCAATAAATTATTGTTCTAGTTATAAGCAAGTCGGTCTTCAAGTGAATTTTTTTATTAATGCTTAGGATTTACATCCTAAAACCTCATTTGTTGGGAGGAATTAAATTTTGTCACTCTCGTCTCAAATAAGATTAACTTTATCTCTAATACGAGATGATTACACTTGAAGAATACACTACAAGAAATAACAAGAAAAAAAATTCTATATTTTATTTAGATTTTTATTTTTATTAGTTAGATGTGATTAATTAAATAATATAGGTAAATAACCTATTAAAAGAGAAGATGATCAATATAAAAGATCATTTCACCAGCAAAATAATATGTATGTATAGAAAGAATATTGAATAGGTCACCCGAGCTATTGCCAATTTCCAACCCTTGTCTCTTTCACCTCCTGTAAAAAGGTTGAATTATTTAAATACTTTAATGTCGTGTGATTCATGCTTCTCCTTAGTGATTACTGATAATTAGCTTAATTAAATAAAAAAATTTAAATTATTTTCTTAAAAAAACTATACGAGATCAATTCATACAATTTGTATGGAAGACATTAAGAAAAGAAGAAGAAAAAAATCATCCATATAATTACTAATAACACTGATTATTTGCGTATAAGATATCCTAAACATTAAAATAAATAAAAAATTATTCACGTATATATTTTTTTTACTATTAATTATTTGGAGTCGAAGCAAGGATAATGAATATAAACCTTGTAGTGAGAATATTTATAATTTTTTGCAAAAAAAATTGAATCCTTACTCTAATTTAGACATATATAAATAAAAACAAATACGATTAGTCAAGTATTTCGATTCTATATTAGTAATATGACTAATCATATTCAGAATAAAAGCTTATTCAGAATAGAAAATATAAAATTTAATTCTTTTTACATTAACGATAAAACCAATCTCATTCAAGATAGGAACCTATTCGAGATAGAAAGTAATATAATTTAACTATTTTTAATAAATATAATTTTAAAATTTAAATTTTATATATTAATAAAAAATTTATCTGGAGATTAACACGTCTATAATAAAGCCAAACATTCATTGGTAATTTAGAATGTATTTAAACTAATTACATATATACATCAATTTTTAAACCTTGAATTCTTCTTAATGCTTCGTGATTCGCTTAAAAAGAGCATGTGGATGAATAGACAATCAATTTGATGGGGTTCCTTTATTAAATGGTGTGAGAGGCTTCGAAACGTTTTTATGACGCTACCATCCTTACTCAAGAAGTTGGTGGTGGATTTCATTACGTGAAGTCGGTAGCACACCGTTTTACCCTTTCCGACAACGATCTCATGCTTTCTTCGCTACTTTAAGAATTCTCAGGTCGCGGAGAACACAATCATAGCCGTTCATCAAATGTCTCTTCCCCAATGCCTACCGTTGATTCTCTCCATCAGCAGCGCTCTTCCACCGTTGATCACCGTGTCTCTTCCAAACGCAAGCTAGACGATGTCGATGGCAACTATGCCGTTTTCTCTGACTTAATCTCCGTCAGGATGGGTAAAGACGACACCGAATCATCCACCGGCCACAATCAACAACAACCTCCCTCAATCTCCTCCACCAATCAGCTCTCCACACGTGTCTCCGACGCATCCACCTCATCATCGTCCACCAATTTCCCCTCCTCCTCCTCCGCCCTGGGGACCACACCCTCGCCGCTGCGGCCGTCACAATCAAGACTTCAATTCTTTATCAGGATGATCTCAGACGGAACTCACATTGTGATCATCGCGAATTCGAGCGATTCCGTTAAATCGCTTCATGAACGGATTCGCGTGATAACCGAAATTCCGGTTATTGAGCAAAGATTGATCTACAAAGGTAAGCAATTGCAATATGAAAACAAACTCTCCGATTACTCTATCGAGAATGATTCGATTCTTCATTTAGTCGGCCGAATACGTAGCACTAGGCATCCTCGTACTTTCCAATTGATTGATGATATGGTTTCTTACATTTGTCAAATTTATAAGTCCATTTTGCCTTGTGGTGTTCATTCTTACGCTTCAAAACATATAAAGGAGTTGATGAATGAGTTCTTTAGTTTGACGCCCAAGGATGATAATGAGGATGCTTCGGAACATTTGAATGTTTTCTTATCAACAGTGCTCCAGCTGCATTAGTGACGCTGTATGTTTCGAGTATTAAAGAGAATAAGGAGTGTGCGGAGGGTGCAATTATACATTTTTTGGATTCGTGTAAGAATTCATTACCTAAGAATTTGCATTTACAGTGTGTTCCGATTGTGATGGAGTTTTGTAATTTGTTGAGGAAGGTTGGGAGTGATGATCCATTGTATGCCGATTGTAGGAGTTGTCTTGGTTCGTTGTTGGAGAATGGTGGGGGTACTTGTGGGTGGAGGTGTCGTGGAGGGGAGGAGGGGAAGCGAGTTGTTGTTGTGCAGGAGATTTTTCCATTTGTTATTGAGTTGGGGAGAAAGTTGTTTAAAGAGTTGATGAAGAGTATGGTGGGGATTGTGGGGCCGTCGGTGGCTGATGTTAAGGATTTTTTGGCGTTTTTGATACCATTGCATAGCGTGATTTCAGAGCAAGGGGGATTTAGGGGTCCTATTTCGAAGCCGTTGAACAAGAGGGCGTTTAATTATCCATTGTATGCGAAGGAGATTGAGCAGCTTCATGTGATATTTATTGATTTGCTGAATATCATGGAGAAATGTCTTGAGAAAATGCAGGATTCTTCAAATTTGAATACGACCGGAGAAGGTGAGTTGAATCATACTGGTTGGTCTCAATATTTGGCTATTTTGAAGGAGTTGAATAACATTGCTAAACTTTACAAGGGTGCTGAGGAAAGGTTTTGGACGGTTTTGAGGCTTAGAAAGGCTTCCTTGTGTGTGCTGATTGTTAGATATGCAAAACGAACTGAAGATCATCAGTGGCTTCTTCGGCAGAAGGATGTGACTGATTTTGAGTCTAGGAGGCATTTGGCTATGATGATGTTCCCTGAGGTGAAAGAAGATTATGAGGAGCTTCATGAGATGCTCATTGATCGATCACGATTGTTGGCAGAGTCATTTGAGTACATAGTGCATGCTGACTCAGAGGCACTACATGGTGGTCTATTTATGGAATTTAAAAACGAGGAAGCTACTGGTCCTGGGGTATTGCGGGAGTGGTTTTTCTTGGTTACACAAGCTATAGTTGATCCTCAAAATGCCCTTTTTGTGGCATGCCCAAGTGACCCCAGAAGGTTCTATCCTAATCCTGGTAAGCTTCTGCTGCCTTTTTAACGAATGCTTTACACGAACAATGATTTAGTGCTCTGTATGGGTTTATTCTTTTTATTTGACTGAATATAGTTCTAGATGATACGAATGTGTAAACGATATGTTGAACTGCCCTGTGTCTAATGTGTCACACAAGCATAGAGTTTGGAACATCGATTGCATATTTTCACAGGGGAAAATAAAAATATACTCTTGAGGAACTCAATGTGCAGTTCCAGCTATTATAGGAACTCGGGCTTAATGTGTGATGTTGCTGTATCCATCACCTACAGTCATTCAACAAGCACCTGTGCTTCATTGTGTTCATGTTACTAGAGGGTTAGTTCATCAGGAATTGTTACCTAAATCATTTTGGAAGTCAAAATCAGGATTGCAATAATGCTTTTGGGATGGTTCAATAGTTTTGATGAAACACTGGCTGGAGGCTTGTTTGGGTGAAACTTCATGTAATCAATCATCTATGTTTTTCTGCACTAGGGTTTTTTATTTTTTTGAACGACACTTGTGATTAAGTTCAGGGATGTTCAGGGAGAATGTGAAACTTAATATTCGAGTTTAGGTCATAATCACGATTGAAATAACACTTTTTAGAAGCTTCAAGAATTCTCCTACACTTGATGGGATACTGGGTGGGTTAATGCAGTGAACCTTTGCAGTGACCTTAATCAAACTTTTATATCTTGCCAATAGTGTTTGGTGTTTAACTGCAGTTGAGATTGTTCATTACACTCTGTTAGTGCTCTTTTTCTATATACGTAGAAAAAATGTTTACCATGTGGGTCCCTGATGAATGTCGTGGGATAAGGGAGCATTGCATCCTATAGAATAAGTTCTCAAGCATAGTTTTGTTAAAGGGCTAATTACTGAACCCGTTGTGTCACAACTATTTTATTCTGAAATGCCCGAGTCCCTAGGGTTATGCTACAGGAATGTTTCCCGTGTTTCTTCAGCTCTGTTATCTGAATTCCATGTTCCATGATTATGTTATTGGTTCAGTTTGGAGGATTAACATGTCTAATTCCTCCACTGCATTAAAATAGCATTGATGAGCTTTGAAATACCTCTTCAAAGAATTATCATTGAGGCTTGTTGATGTGTTCTGATTCTGGACTTGATTTAAGTTGCAAGATCTTGGCTGGGTTCAATTTTTGGCATGGATAACCACTAACAAACAGTCTGTACGTGGACTTCATTGTTTTCATTTTATGTGCAGCATCTAAGGTGGATCCCATGCACCTTGAGTATTTCACATTCGCTGGGCGAGTTATTGCATTAGCTTTGATGCGCAAAGTGCAAGTTGGCATTGTATTTGATCGTGCGTTTTTCTTGCAATTGGCCGGGATGCATATTTCTTTGGAAGACATACGAGATGCAGATCCATGCTTGTATAGCCGTTGCACAGAGATTCTGCAGATGGACCCTGAGTTCATTGGTTCAGATGCTTCGGGGCTGACATTTGTTAGAGAAGTTGAGGAGCTAGGATCCACGAAAGTTGTGGAACTTTGCCGTGGTGGGAAAGGCATTGTTGTACACAGCAAGAATCGGGATGAATATGTCAATCGTCTCATTGAACATCGCTTTGCCACATCTGTCTCTGACCCTGTATCTCGATTTGCGCATGGATTCACTGATATTCTTTCAACCTCTGGGCAACGGAAGCTCTTCTTTCGGAGCTTAGAGCTCGAAGATCTTGATGGGATGCTATATGGAAGTGAAAGTTCTATCTGCGTGGAAGATTGGAAGGCACACACTGAGTAGTACAATAGTTACAAGGAAACTGATCCTCAGATATCCTTACTAAGATAGATCTTAAATGTATATATTTTTTTTATGCATGAGTTAATTTTTTTAATGTTATCCATGTAACGCGTGGGAGATTTGTTTAGAATGATATTAAGATGTGATCTATCTATATTTTTCTTTTTGCTCTAACCCACTTGAAAAAATAGCAAGTTAAACTGTGTACCTTCCTATGTTCTTCGAATCAAATATCTTTCATGGATGTGTGCATACGCTCAAAATTAATATTTTTTAATTGGACATGAGTGGATCAAATTGCAAGAATTCTATTGTTTATGACTCAATGTGATACTTCAAGGACAATAAAGACTAAATGAGAAAAAAGTTAGCCAAATTTCCATTGAAGAATTAGCTATGGTAATAAATGCTGAATAAGAAATCCCGGCTAGGTTTACTCTTTACAGCTTTGGTAATTTTATTGTTTTTCTCTCATCGGTGGAAGAAAATTTTATCGCAAACAGCAGCATAAGATTTGAAAGATCCTTTGTACAATAACATTTAGATGGGTTTACCCTTTACGATAGGATTTGTGAACGATTTTTTTTCTTTTTTTTAATAGTTGATAGTATCAAAATTAGACAAATTGAGTTAAATTTTTCTAATTTTACCTGTTAAAAATAATATGATTTTTTAAATGTACCATGTCTATTAGCTTTTCGTTGAGAAATTAACAGAAAAACTGTAAAAACCCTCTCAATTCCTTTTTTTTTCCTTTTGTATTAGTAAACATATTTTTCTAAATCGATAGAGAGAAGAATTACAAGAATTGGAAGGATTTTTTTTTAATTAATTTCTCAATTGGAAACGTATAATACAAGGGACCCATTCAAAAAACCATATTATTACGAGGATAAAATCAGAGATTTTTTTAGTTCAATGAGGTTTTTGTTTTTTGGCTCAGATTTTAGAGGGGTATTTTGTGATTTACCCTTAAATAAAATATATTTTACAGCCCAAAAAGATTTGAAATCCTTATGTGACAAGCAGACACCGACCTAAGGAAATTGCTTGCGTCCCAAGAAACACAAAAGCTGAGTTCAATTTGATAATCCTTAAATGGAGTCGGACTCTGAATAAAATGAAAATTCTGCTCTAATTCTCAAGAAAGTAAACGATAAAACCTTCAAAGCACAGGAAGGCAGTTCTGAGGGAAACAACGTTTGAATCAACCAGAGAATATTAGCTCAAATGCTCAGTTATCTACCTGTGAAGAGTCTCTTCCGTTTCAAGTGCGTCTCCAGATTATGGTGTTCCATGATCGAGAGTGAATATATGATCAAACTTCACCTTAGAAACCATAACAGCAGCACCAAACTTAGCCTCATCCTTCAAGACGCATGTTTTTTAACGCCGAAGATCTTTTCAGTCACTGATGTCGGTTCGCAGAACAAAGCTGTAGAACTCGAAGGGCCATTCGGTCACATACCAGAATATTGAGCTCTTGCGAGAAATTTTATAATACACTAGGAGTAACTCAGTATCATATACGATAGTTATTTTTCGAGCTCAACTTGAAGATAAAGATAGACACACAAAAAGAAAGAGAAAAAAATAAAAAAATTTGAATGAAAGTGAAAATTTTCTTATCATTTTTTATGGGTATAGATGTAATTTTTTTTTATGTGTTTATCTCTCTCTTTAAAGTGAATCAAAAGAGTAATTACTATATATACTATAAAATTATTTTTTATGTATTATAAAATTATTCGATGGCTTGCAATGGTTTGCCTTCAGGTTAGGAGCAGGAACTACGTAAATTGGACTTTAATGAATGGAATTAAAAAGTCCTACAAAACATTTATCACGTGGATTCACCATTTTATATATATATATAAGCTAATGAGGCAAAACTAGCTTAGCTTTTTGAAACTCTGTCCAGCCATTTCCATCTTTCAGCAGGAAAAAAGTGTCTGCCAGCTGCCTGAAACAACGAAATCGAAGCAAGGCGTAGAATGATCATTTTGCAAAATTAAGCTAAGTAATCAATCAACCTATGCATTCGCATAATCCAGACGCCTGTTACTTTATTCCAATTTGCCTATGAAAATGAACCTCTTGGTCAAAAAGGAGTACTAAAATAGGTGGAATAACACATTGATGGGTAATTGCATAGATTAGTAGCTTGTAGACCTAGCTAACCATGGAAATTTGAAAATGACAATTGTTTTAAGTTAATTATTAGGGAAAAAGTTGGGAAGAAAAGAAAGAAAAGATAATTTATTGTATTTTTATCATGAATTTCAATGGAAAGAAAGAGGAAGCAACTTAGAAGTAGCTCGTCAAATTTTAAGAAATCATATCAATAAATTATTAATCTAATAGGAAGCGAGTCGGTCTTCAAGTGAATTTTTTTATTAATATATAGGATTTACATTCTAAAATCTCATTTGTTGAGAGAAATTAAATCTTATCATTCTCGTCTTCAATAAGATTAACCTTATCTCCAATTTGAGATAAGTATACTTGAAGAATACACTACAAGAAATAATAATAATAATAAAAATTCTATATTTTATTTAGATTTTTATTTTTATTAGTTAGATGTGATTAATTAAATAATATAGGTAAATAACCTATTAAAAGAGAAGATGATCAATATAAAAGGTCAATTCACCAGCAAAATAATATGTATATATAGAAAGAATATTGAATAGGTCACCCGATCTATTGCCAATTTCCAACCCTTGTCTCTTTCCCCTCCTATAAAAAGGTTGAATTATTTAAATACTTTAATGTCGTGTGATTCATGCTTCTCCTCAGTGATTACTGATAATTAGCGCTTAATTAAATAAAAAAATAAAATTATTTTTTTTTAAAAAAATACGAGATCAATTCATACAATTTGTATGGAAGAAATTAAGAAAAGAAGAAGAAAAAAATCAATATAATTACCAATAACACTGATTATTTGCGTATAAGATATCCTAAACATTAAAATAAATAAATAAAAATTATTCACGTACATATTTTTTTACTATTAATCATTTGGAGTCGAAATAAAGATAGTGAATATGATCAGATAATGAATATGATCCTCGTAGTGAGAATATTTATAATTTTTTGCAAAAAATTGAATTCTTACTCTAATTTAAACATATATAAACAGAAACAAATACAATTAGTCAAGTATATCGATTCGATATTATTAATATGACTAATCATATTCGAGGCAAAATCTTACTCATGACAGGAAAAATAAAATTTAATATTTTTTAATAAACATGATTTCATGATTTGAACTTTCACTTTAACGATAAAACCAATCCTATTCAAGGTAGAAGTCTGTTTGGGATAATGAGCAATATGATGTAATTATTTTTAACAAATATAATTTTAAAATTTAAATTTTATATATTAATAAAAAATTTATTTGAAGATTAATTTATCTATAACCGACAAGAATTCATTGGTAATTTAGAATGTATTTAAACTAATTGCATATATGCATCAATTTTTAAACCTTGAATTCTTTTTAATGCTTCGTGATTCGCTTAAAAAAGAGCATGTGGATGAATAGACAATCAATTTGATAGGGTTCCTTCATTAAATGGTGTGAGAGGCTTCGAAACGTTTTTATGACGCTACCATCCTTACTCAAGAAGTTGGTGGTGGGTTCATGTTTTATCATGCCACGTGGATTTCATTACGTGAAGTCGGTAGCACACATTGTAACTGTACCACATACTAATCAGCTTTGTTATCATGCCTTGATGGGTCCACTCTAGAGTCCAACCATACCCATCACTCCATCAAACAATCTAAATTAATTTTATTTATTTATTTAACGGTAAAAGTATTTTCAAAATTATTTATGTTTTAATCGAGACAAAATTCATCTTTGAACAATTTAAAAAAAATATATCTCACATTGATTAGATCTATTCATAAAATTTTAATAATTTTATATTTATTTTAAATAAAACAAATGAAAATTTAAGTAAATTTTGATTAATAAATTCTTTACGAAAATTATGTAGTTATGCAAATTAAAATTTTCCAATTCTTTACTAACACTCTATGCATATTTTTATTATAACTTGGATACAAGAAAAATAGTTTAAAATTTTATATCTTTATTATTTTTAGAGTTTGGGGCTACTTCGTCGTATTGTTTAGAGCCTTATTTTCACATTTATTATAAATTTTAGAAAATTTTATTATTTTTTTAATTTATTAAACCAATGTAAAATGCGTCTTTTAAAATCATTTGATAAAAAACTTAATCTTAATTATATATGAAATGATTCGAAAATATTTTTATCATCGAATTAAAAAAAATATTCAAAATCTATTAGTTCTTTTTTGTCGAATCATGAAACAAGGAATTTTCAAAATCATGTAACATAAATCTATCACACTAACAGAATATGTAAAATCAAAACCGTTCACATTGCCGACATGATCAAGAACCTCACAAAAGGCCCATGAGCCTGTTCACACCCAACCATCTTTCAAGCCCAATTTCGTAATTAACAAAAACACACAATAAATATAATACTAGCGTGAGATTACAGTCTCTTCGCTGATGACGGCTGTTAAAGAAACACAAAGAACCGGACTCTCAAGAAACCCCACCGAGAGAGAGACGACAACACTTCCTTTCAATCCTTTCCTCGCCGCTTACTCTCTCTGTCAGTCTAAACCTACAACGTTTTTCCCTCTCCGACAACGATCTCATGCTTTCTTCGCTACTTTAAGAATTCTCAGGTCGGGGAGAACACAATCATAGCCGTTCATCAAATGTCTCTACCCCAATCACCCACCGTTGATTCTCTCCATCAGCAGCGCTCCTCCACCGTTGATCACCGTGTCTCTTCCAAACGCAAGCTAGACGATGTCGATGACAACGATGCCGTTTTCTCTGACTTAATCTCCGTCAGGATGCGTAAAAACGACACCGAATCATCCACCGGCCACAATCAACAACAACCTCCCTCAATCTCCTCCACCAATCAGCTCTCCACACGTGTCTCCGACGCATCCACCTCATCATCGTCCACCAATTTCCCCTCCTCCTCCTCCGCCCTGGGGACCACACCCTCGCCGCTGCGGCGGTCACAATCAGGACTTCAATTCTTTATCAGGATGATCTCAGACGGAACTCACATTGTGATCAACGCGAATTCGAGCGATTCTGTCAAATCACTCCATGAACGGATTCGCGTGATAACCGGAATTCCGGTTATTGAGCAAAGATTAATCTACAAAGGTAAGCAATTGCAATATGAAAACAAACTCTCCGATTACTCTATCGAAAATGATTCGATTCTTCATTTAGTCGGCCGGATGCGTAGCACTAGGCATCCTCGTACTTTTCAATTGATTAATGATATGGTTTCTTACATTTGTCGAATTTGTAAGTCCATTTTCCCTTGTGGTGTTCATTCTTACGCTTTAAAACATATAAAGGAGTTGATGAATGAGTTCTTTAGTTTGACGCCCAAGGATGATAATGAGGATGCTTCGGGACATTTGAATGTTTTCTTATCAAACAGTGCTCCAGCTGCATTAGTTACGCTGTATGTTTCGAGTATTAAAGAGAATAAGGAGTGTGCGGAGGGTGCAATTATACATTTTTTGGATTCGTGTAAGAATTCATTACCTAAGAATTTGCATTTACAGTGTGTGCCGATTGTGATGGAGTTTTGTAATTTGTTGAGGAAGGTTGGGAGTGATGATCCATTGTATGCCGATTGTAGGAGTTGTCTTGGTTCGTTGTTGGAGAATGGTGGGGGTACTTGTGGGTGGAGGTATCGTGGAGGGGAGGAGGGGAAGGGAGTTGTTGTTATGCAGGAGATTTTTCCATTTGTTATTGAGTTGGGGAAAAAGTTGCTTAAAGAGTTGATTAAGAGTATGGTGGGGATTGTGGGGCCGTCGGTGGCTGATGTTAAGGATTTTTCGGCGTTTTTGATACCATTGCATTGTGTGATTTCAGAGCAAGGGGGATTTAGGGGTCCTATTTCGATGCCGTTGAACAAGAGGGCGTTTAATTATCCATTGTATGCAAAGGAGATTGAGCAGCTTCATGTGATATTTATTGATTTGCTGAATATCATGGAGAAATGTCTTGAGAAAATGCAGGATTCTTCAAATTTGAATACGACCGGAGAAGGTGAGTTGAATCATACCGGTTGGTCTCAATATTTGGCTATTTTGAAGGAGTTGAATAACATTGCTAAACTTTACAAGGGTGCTGAGGAAAGGTTTTGGACGGTTTTGAGGCTTAGAAAGGCTTCCTTGTGTGTGCTGATTGTTAGATATGCAAAACGAACTGAAGATCATCAGTGGCTTCTTCGGCAGAAGGATGTGACTGATTTTGAGTCTAGGAGGCATTTGGCTATGATGATGTTCCCTGAGGTGAAAGAAGATTATGAGGAGCTGCATGAGATGCTCATTGATCGATCACAATTGTTGGCAGAGTCATTTGAGTACATAGTGCATGCTGACTCAGAGGCACTACATGGTGGTCTATTTATGGAATTTAAAAACGAGGAAGCTACTGGTCCTGGGGTATTGCGGGAGTGGTTTTTCTTGGTTACACAAGCTATATTTGATCCTCAAAATGCTCTTTTTGTGGCATGCCCAAGTGACCGCAGAAGGTTCTATCCTAATCCCGGTAAGCTTCTGCTGCCTTTTTAATGAATGCTTTACACGAACAATGATTTAGTGCTCTGTATGGGTTTATTCTTTTTATTTGATTGAATATAGTTCTAGATGATATGAATTTGTAAACGATATGTTGAACTGCCCTGTCTCTAATGTGTCACACAAGCATAGAGTTTGGAACATTGATTGCATATTTTCACAGGGGAAAATAAAAATATACTCTGAGGAACTCAATGTGCAGTTCCAGCTATTATAGGAACTTGCGCTTAATGTGTGATGTTGCTGTATCTATCACCTACAGTCATTCAACAAGCACCTGTGCTTCATTGTGTTCATGTTACTAGAGGGTTAGGTCATTAGGAATTGTTATCTAAATCATTTTGGAAGTCAAAATCAGGATTGCAATAATGCTTTTGGGATGGTTCAATAGTTTTGATGAAACACTGGCTGGAGGCTTGTTTGGGTGAAACTTCATGTAATCAATCATCTATGTTTTCCTTTACTAGGGTTTTTTTTTTTCGAACGACACTTGTTTTATTCTGTTATAATAATAGTTTTGATGATACTGGCTGTGTAAACAATATGTTGCATTGCCTTGTGTCTAATGTTTCAGATTATGGGCTGAGAATTTGCATGAATTTACACTGGAAAGTAAACGTTCACCAAACTAAATGCAGAGCTCTGACTGTTTATATGAGTTGACATTTAATATGTGTTGATGCTGTATTCATCACTTACAACCCTTGAACTATTATTCTTCATTGTATTTTTATATGTTAGTGGTATGAGGACATCTGGAGGTTTTGCACCTAAATATGGAGAATGTGAAACTTAATATTCGAGTTTAGGTCATAATCACGATTGAAATAACACTTTTTAGAAGCTTCAAGAATTCTCCTATACTTGATGGGGTACTGGGTGGGTTAATGCAGTGAACCTTTGCAGTGACCTTAATCAAACTTTTATATCTTGCTAATATTGTTTGGTGTTTAATTGCAGTTGAGATTGTTTATTACACTCTGTTAGTGCTCTTTTTCTGTATATGTAGAAAAAGTGTTTACCATGTGGGTCCCTGATGAATGTTGTGGGATAATGGAGCATTGCATCCTATAGAATAAGTTCTCAAGCATAGGTTTGTTAAAGGGCTAATTACTGAACCCGTTGTTTCACAATTATTTTATTGTAAAATGCCCGAGTCCCTAGGGTTATTCTACAGGAATATTTCCAATGTTTCTTCAGCTCTGTTATCTGAATCCCATGTTCCATGATTATGTTATTGGTTCAGTTTGGAGGATTAACATGTCTAATTCCTCTACTGCATTAAAATTGCATTGATGAGCTTTGAAATACCTCTTCAAAGAATTATCATTGAGGCTTGTTGATGTGTTCTGATTCTGGACTTGATTTAAGTTGCATGATCTTGGTTGGGTTCAATTGTTGGCATGGATAACCACTAACAAACAGTATGTACGTGGACTTCATTGTTTTCATTTTATGTGCAGCATCTAAGGTGGATCCCATGCACCTTGAGTATTTCACATTCGCTGGTCGAGTGATTGCGTTAGCTTTGATGCACAAAGTGCAAGTTGGCATTGTATTTGATCGTGCGTTTTTCTTGCAATTGGCCGGGATGCATATTTCTTTGGAAGACATACGAGATGCAGATCCAGGCTTGTATAGCAGTTGCACTCAGATTCTGCAGATGGACCCTGAGTTCATTGATTCAGATGGTTTGGGACTGACATTTGTTAGAGAGGTTGAGGAGCTAGGATCCAGGAAAGTTGTGGAACTTTGCCATGGTGGGAAAGGCATTGTTGTAAACAGCAAGAATCGGGATGAATATGTCAATCGTCTCATTCAACATCGCTTTGTCACATCTATCTCTGACCCTGTATCTCGATTTGCGCGTGGATTTGCTGATATTCTTTCAACCTCTGGGCAACAGAAGCTCTTCTTTCGGAGCTTGGAGCTCGAAGATCTTGATTGGATGCTATATGGAAGTGAAAGTTCTATCTGTGTGGAAGATTGGAAGGCACACACTGAGTACAATAGTTACAACGAAACTGATCCTCAGATATCCTGGTTCTGGCAGGTATTTTTTGTGTTCTTTTCTTATCTCAAGTTTAAATTTTCTTTCTTTTAAAGTATAGTTTGCTCTTTCTTCCCATATTTCTGGACCATATCATATGACATAACTTTTATGGGTTGGATATATATTTTCTTGGAAAATAACTATCTGCAGAGTACAGACTGTTAGTGTTCTTTTCCTTTGTATATTTCTTGGAAGTATCTCTGCTTCATTATTATCTACATGGAAGAACTATCCTTTTCTGTATATTCTTACCAGCTGTACTGCTGTTTTGATAATTAAGTATAGCCTAAAAACTATGTGAATTCAATTCTTCTAATGTATGAGGGTGGGGAAAGATGTGTGACTTGCATTGTCCTGCCATACAATAAGTAATTGGAAATTCAAAGAGCTTTCCATTTTTTGTCTTGTCAAATTTATAGATCTTGAATCTCTCAAATTCTTAAGGTTGTGCCATGATTTCCTCAACATGATGATAATCTCATATTCAAATATGGAAGAATATTAGGAACATAGTCTGGGTTCTCTAAGATCAAATTTAAGAGTTTTAAGTTATGTTATGTTGGAAGTTTTAGTGTTAAAGTCTGAATGCATGGCATTCATGCAGGAATTTACATGAGTACAAATTCCAAAGTGTTGAGCATTTACGTTATATTGAGTACATATATACATGGGAAGGCAGAAATTTGTTCCCAAGGAATTAGAGTATGGTTGGTGTGGTTGAGATTTCGTATGTGCTTCAACAAGTGTGCCAGATTTGGGATGTAAGGCCCTAGTTGGAACAAGTATAGATTTTGTTTCTATACTTTTGTTGGCTCATAGTTCTGTGCATGTGGTGTTTGGTTCAGGAGGGGGTGTTTTAAATAAAGATGCTAAGTGAAAATTAAAACAAAATGAGGGAGCCATACAAAATAAAGAGATTTTATTTCATCTCTTTATTTGGGAATTAAGGTTGAGGTAAGTTTTCTTGAATCTTTGATAGCATTGTGGGGTTGTGAATGGGTGGGCCTGGTGGAGGGGATGTTTCATTTGTCAAAAAGACACTGCTTTTAAGCAAGTTTGTTATATCTATTGGGGAATTTTCTGTAGTTTATGGGTTTTTCTTTTGTATCAGATGGACTCTTAATCCCATCAGCAGTGTAGGGTTTACCTGATTTATGATAAAAATATGCGGTTGCCATTTGAACTTTGATGTGCCACCAATGATAGAACGTTTGTTTCTGGTTTGGTCCATCAGGTTTTATTGTGCTCGTGTAAAAATATTCCATGTGACTGGAATGAGGGTGGATTTTGGTTCTTTTACTTTCTTGCTTTGCAGAGTGAGCTATGCAATGCAGAAATAAGATACATTTTGTTTTGGAAATCAGCCTTAAAAGCCAATGTTTGATATGTAGGGTTGGGGTGATGCTCATTTGTTAGGCGCTGCTTTTGAGCAAGTTTTTTATATCCATTTAGTTCTTTAACAGGCATTCCTCTCTTTCTATCCCTTCGTATCATACAAGTCTTTTATCCCATCACTAGTGTGGAATTACCTTATTAACTTGTTAGTCATCGAAAACTGAGGATGTGGGTTTTATAAGGTTTTGATTCATACTCAACAAATGATATCCAAGGTACTTGAGAGAAACTAGTAAATACTCGTGCACTCCATGGAAGAGGTTAAAGCCTTTTACCCACTTGGAGAACTAAATTAGGAGTTTTATTCCTGAAGTCTCCATAGTATGGTTACTGCTTTTGATCTTAAAAACATTCATGAGAAATTGTTTTGAGAAAGTGAAAAGCCATATGCTTGTATTTGCATTCATGGACCTTGAGTTTTTTACCAGTCAGCTGCGGGTGAGATAGTCCAACCTCACCTACTTTATAGTAAAGTTCTGTCAGGGCGAAAACATTGCTTCTTATTTTATTTATCTCTTGCTTGAATATTTTGCAGATTGTTGGGGAAATGTCAGCAGATCAGAGAAAGGTTCTTCTCTTCTTTTGGACCTCAGTGAAGTATCTACCTGTTGAGGGTTTCCGTGGTTTGGCCTCAAGACTTTACATTTACAAGTCCACGGAGCCCGAGGATCACCTTCCTTCATCCCATACATGCTTTTACAGATTGTGTTTCCCACCCTATCCCTCCATGGCTATCATGCAAGATCGCCTCCGTGTCATCACCCAAGAACATGTTGGATGCAGTTTCGGCACTTGGTGATGCATTTGTTACATCCACTTTCAGGGTTAACAGGGCTTCCTACTGCACATAGAAAAGATTTCAACTCGGCTTGTACAGATAGATTTATGTCATCAGTTTCATTAGACCATGTAAGAAAGTCTCTAGTTAATTTATGTTTCGTCCAGGAAAGTTGCGATGTCATTGCTCTTTTTGTCCAACTGTTAATATAGGTATAGCATAAATAATGTTCGGGGCTAGGAGGAAGAGAATTTCTATGCTCCGAATGGACTTCTTTCGTCAGTAACAGTAGCTGATTTTCATGTCATGTAAGTACACAGATTATGCAATGACATCCAAGTTTTCATAGAAAGGTTATCATTCTCACTTCTCTCTTTTACAAGTCCAAAATTAGTGAAAGATTCAAAGGTTTCTCTTCGAAAAAATGTTGCAAGTTCTGCCGGTCAGTATGATAAGGTCGCGCTTAATTAGGGTTTTATTTTTTGCTAATATAGGAGGGTTCTTGTTACTACAAGATTCTCCTTTTTTAGCAAATTATTAGGTCATCTGATGGGTTATCTTTATCATGTGAAGGCACATGATGGGACAACCTTTTCCATGAAAGTACTTACAAATGTAGGTCCTCTGCACATTCCGACTTGTAGATCCAATCATGCATCTGAGTCGTCCTCGTTTAGCAAAATCTAATGTTGTCCTTTGCATTCGTCATACTACCGGTGCTGAATCAAATTCTTGCTTGTTTCTGTATGAATCTAGTTTAAGGATTAGCGAATCTTATGGAGCTTGTCTTCGACATGTCATTTCCAATTATTGACTTGCATGATGAAAGGTTATTATTCTACAGGGCTTGAATTGATTGATTGATGTTTGTTTCTTTGTTCTAGCAGTATGTTGTTGTCACCTTTCATAGATGGACCTGAGGCACCTGACATTACAATCTTTCCCTGGGAAATAGACCAGTGTAAACTTGTCTTAGTCCTCAGAGATTCAAGATCACACGCTATATCATATGACGCAATCAAGATTGGTGGCTTTGCCATGTTGATAATAAGCAAATTAAAAAGATCGGAAGGCTTAATTGGGAACTTCATTATTTTCCATGCTTGAAAAACCTAAGTTGGAAACCTACAGAAAACTCATATTTCGTCGAAATTATGCCGTTTGATGAAATGGTAGTGATGATCTTTTATAGGTGCAGTAGTCTTGTAAGCATGATTCAATCCCCTTTTTTCCAGTTTCCTGTTTCTATTCATTTGTCACTTAAGTGGGTTCCGAAAAGGGATGAAAAGAACATAGGTTTTGTGCCTTAAGGCACCGTTCGGTTTTGCGAAGTGTATTTGGATCGAAAAAACATCAGATAATAGATGCTTTCTAGGTGTTTTTCGTTGATTTTCATATGAGATGCCACCATCGGAAAGCACCTTAAAAAGGATAAATTTGCGTTCTTCGAAACGAAATGCAGTACTTTCGACCTAATTATACATGCCAAGAAATTCGGCATATCCTGCAGCTAGGAAGCACAAACCCACCAATTAGACACCATTTTTGGCCCAACTCTTAGTGTTTCCTGCATGAATGGGATCGGATCCCACCTGGCCTAGAAACCTGTTTCGCATAAACTGTTACTTCTTCAAGCAGATTTTGAAGTATGATTCTCACCGGCATTCATGATATATGCTTTGGACTTTATACTAAAACCTTGGGGTTGGGAGCCATTTTTCTTAATAAATTGGAGCATAGAAAGCTGGCAGTAGCAAGGTGCTCATCAACTAAACATAAACATAATAATATAAGTTTTATTATCAAGCCTAGAGATCATCACATCATCACACCATTTCACAACCAATAGAAACTATCGAACCCACAAGCATCCAAGCCCCATGCCATCATGAGCCGTGACTCATGGCCCTTCCACTTCAATATCAATCATCCTTTCTGTGTATTCTGACCTGGGCTGGCAAGTTGTAACCTGATGCTGCGGATCCAAGTGCTTAATATTTTGACTCTATAGCTTCCATATCTTATACTCCCAACCAAAACCCTTTCTTTAACCATAACCATAAAATAATAAACAGAAATGAAACGAAACAGAAAAACCTGAGGACTTTGACAAAGAAACCTAGAGAGAAAAACAAAGACCCCTTCCCCACTAGTATCAATCACTTGATCATAGGATCAATCTATTCACTTCTCAGGAGTATCGACTGGAACATCTGTGCTGGTTGTCTCAGCAGCTGGTTTCTCAGCTGGCTTCTCTTCTTCTGCTGGTTTCTCTTCCTTGACAGGAGCTGCAGGTGCTACCTTCTCCTCGGTCTCTTTTTTGGGCTCCTCCGTAACAGTCTCTGCAGGAGTCTCCTCGGGAGTCTCTTCTACAGCTGGAGCTGCTGCAACCTCTTCAGGCTCAGTTTTTGCTGGTTCTACTGCAACGTCCTTGGTTTCAACCTCAACTGCAGGTTCAGCTTCCGGTTCTGCGGCCGGAGCATCAGCAGGCACTGCTTTGGTTGGTTCTTCGGCTACTGGCTCAGAGGCAGTTGGTGGTACAGTTTCTGTGGTTTTCTGATCCTCAGTCTTGGTCACCACAGGTACCTCAGTCTCTGGAATTGATGGAGCAGCTGAAACCTGTAACAATAATCCCAAAATGTATAATGAAATGGAAGAAAGCTTAGAACATGAATAGGGTTCTTGAAAAAAAAAAAAAAAAGGCGTTAAGTTGCTTATGACTTCGTGATCTATCTCATCAGGAGGTCAGGATGGCTGATGAAAACCAAAATTTTCAAAGAATGCATGATGGAAATCCACTCAATCGTTCACAGATGCTTAAAAACTCAAGGATCAGTCAAATCTAGCATAGATATTGGATTTATCTATCCCTTGATGAGCTAGATGCAGAAATATTTTATCGTAAAACAAGTTAGAAAACAAACTTCAGAAATCATCGAGACAACAGTACAGTTGAAGATCTCATGTTGATTGATCTATCACTTGACTTGGATCAAGATATGGGATGCAATAATCTACTAAGAAGCTTGAAGATTTGTAGTTACAGGCAAGAAACGTTACTTTTAGCAGAAATATTTATTTTATCATAAAACAAGTTAGAAAACAAACTTCAGAAATCATTAAGATAACACATGTTGAGTGATCTATCACTTGACTAGATCAAGGTATGGGATGCAACAATCTACTAAGAAGCTTGAAGATTTGTAGTTACAGGCAAGAAACGTTACTTTTAGCAGAAACATTTACCTCAACGCTGGCCATTTGGAAAGCAAAGAGAAGGGTAATAGAACTTTGGAGGAAGATGGAAATTAATAAAGGAAGGAAGGGTATAGACTATAGACACAAATAAGGATGCTTGAGAGCTAGTGAAGTGAAGAGAGGATCAATGAGAGAGCTATTTATAGAGGATGGAAATGAAAAGATAAATTAAAGAATTAATGAGATCATCGGGAGCATGCTCACTTGAAGAATCTTTTCAGCTTGACACCTAATACTGCAGACAAGATACATTAACATGTCTTGCTAGCTGGTCGTACATATGTTATTTCTTTTTTGATGTAAAGTATTGTAGAGATAAGGATTTTAATAGGATTGACAAATACTTAATACAAAAAAAAATGAATTGGCAATGTCATATAGTGGAAGCCATTTCTCATGTCAGCATCATTTCTGTCTTTTGAGTGGGTTCCCAAGTGTTTTTTCTTTTCTAGTAGGGCATAATGTAGGTTAATTACTGCTTAAATCATATGATGCATTCATGTTCTGTGTAGCATTTCTATTTGATTTGCTGTTGATTTGTGCTACGTACCCTTGCTTTTCCTTCTTTTTTTCTTTTTTATATTATAGTGGAATTTTTTCAACATTTGAAAATAAAAGCTATATCGACGAGAGTTCATCTTTTTTTTTTTTTCCAAAATATCCATGTATTAACTACTAAATATACATTCAATAATAAAATTAGTTCAATTTGAAATATAAAAATATATTAAAAAAATCATTTTATTATATAAGTACATATTGACACCCTAATGTAAAGAACATGCAAGATGCAAGCAAACCATATTGAGAAAAGAAAAGAAAAAGTCCTATAATTATTGAAATGATAACCACTAAAAAATGTGTTTAATAAGAAGAAAATTGTTTTGATTTGATCAAAATTAAAATTCAATTCTCATTATTTACGAATAATTAATCATAATTATTTTCTAATGATATCAAATTTGAGACTAATTTGATTTAAGAGATAGCTCAATACGTACATAATTGATCAAAAGTTAAATGTGTTTTGATACTTGTTTAATCTAAAAAGTGATAAATTTAATCTCGATTAATATAAATATTGATTTGAAAATACTTCACAACATATATATATATATATATATATATATATATATATATATTAACTTTTTCAAAACCTAAAAGACAGAAATGTTGTGTCGTGAATTGAGGTCCTTGATACCGGTTTTATTATGATCATCAAAACGTCTAGTGGTGTACATGTCGTGACAAATTTATTTCATATTTTGACACAATCACATGCGAAGCAATAGATTAGTATGTACTAAAGGAGTACAATATATATATATATATATATATATATATATATATTGCCATGCGAGAACATCGATAGCTAGCCATCCACGCAAGTTGATTGCAAATCTTGTACGTTATTGCTTTGTTTATTTTCAAATATTCTAATTAGTATAGTCAAGAGGCAAGTTTTACAATTTATTTATTTATTTTCTTTTTGCTTAAAGTTCTTTGCACATATTCTAGCATTTTCAACTTCACAAGTTCGATAATAATTTTTTTTTTTTTTGTCTATTGATGCAGGCATAGTGTTTTTACTTCATATGTTATCATTTTGGATTCAAATCCATCAAAAAGATTATAAAAAAAAAATACATATTAGGAACGTATTAATGTTGATATAAATAACACGCAATGTACCAATGTATTTAATACAAATTGAAATGAATGAAGTTTTTCTATATGAAATTAAGAATTCTTATTATCTTGTTTGAATTATTTTTAACTGCTTATTTACAATGCAGACATGGTGAGAATTTCAAATGCATTTAATACAATAGCCACTAGGCTAGATGGTACCCCAAAAAAAAAAAAAAAAGAAATTGGATAGGAACAGAACTTTATATATATATATATATATATATATATATATATATATATATATAAACTTAATTTTGGTATGCTAAAATTGGCTCAAAATCATATACAATTAAAAAAAAATGATTTGTATTTTAATTAATTTTTTCACAATGACTTGTTTTTGAACCAATATTGAAGAAATTTTGGCGGCAGCTTGGGTATCTACACAAATAATAGTGATAAAGAAAGGCTAATTGAAGGCACCTTTGTGGTTGTAAACAATGATTAAGGACTGCTTTTTACTATTGTGGTCAAATAATTTGCCATTTTTAAGGTTTTTAACTTTTTCTCTTTCCATAAACCCTAAACATTTTCATATTGCAGGATGGTTGTGGAGCCAAACAAAAGGCAACATTGGTGTCTAGGCCGGTGCCTGAAGTGGGACCTTCAATCACCAACTTTGATCGTTACCATCCAAATGACCCCTCTCACATGGTCCCGAAAAAAAATACAAATTTTGCTGCCATGTTTTTTTTTTTCAATATTTCTATGGTAATTTTTCATTGTAGTTTTTGTATATTGAAATTAATAAGTTATTTTTTTCTTTTTTTTTTTTTTATCAATAAGGGTGTCTCAGGCTAGTTTTTGTGCCTCAAGTTAGCTTTCATGTACTTCAAGACTAATTTTTTCCTAAATGTAGCTAAGAAGCACTTCCCAATGCACGATTTCAGCTATTCTGAAAATAAATTCTCATGCTAGCTATAAGAATTACACTTTAGACCCAACTTACAAGTTGACGCTTGTTTACTAACGAGTTATCACTTAATAGTTAAATTACTAAGATATTAATGATATATAAGTGAAATTAATCCTTATACATACAATGATTTTTTTTGACATGAAATGAACCACTTCAAATTAATTTATTACTTTCGTAATTATAATACATAAATCAAAACGTAAGATCAGATTAAAAGACATAATTAATAAACAACATATAAATATTTGTATATTATCTTTTATTGGTTTTGATTTTACTTGTAATTCGATCAAAATTAAAAGATGCAAAAAGATTTTATTTTTAAATTAAAAGGAGATTCGAATTATAAGATTTCTTATTGGATTGATTCTTATTTCTGAAAAGCTTTTTTTTTTTGTTATTGATTTTGTGGTATTGATAGATTCAAAAAATTGATAAAAAAAAAAAATTGGACATAATCTGATACTAATCTAATTTATAAAGTAGTGTATATAATCTCATGATGAAAAAACTTGCCCGAAAATACTTTTTATTTATAAATATAAAAAGAAAAAGATTATGGTACCAAAAAAAGTCCCATGGATCATGGTTTTGCTTTTTTCCTTCTTCAATCCAACCCAAATTTGTGTGCATACATAGCTTTGGGAACCAACCTTTCTAAAGATGGAACTTTTGGTGGGCCAATGTGTACATGCTTTCCAGGTAGGAATCTCTTAGCATTGGGACCCACTTTCAGCCGTCTGATTTGCCACGCTTGATAACAGTCGTTGCCCTGATCATGTCTTCATATAATGCCAGACCACCCCCTTCTCGTTTCTAAAAAACCTAGAAAACAAAATTACCCCTTGCTCAATATGTACATGCCAAAAAAAGAAAAAAAAATTCTTGCAAATATTGCAATTTTTTAGTTAAAAATCTTGCCTTTTAGGATCATCTATGATCTTAACGTTATGAAAGTTCGGAAAAAAAAGTTTCACAAATTTATTATGGATGCATAATCTACTTAAAAAAAAAACAATAGAAAAAATTTAATTTTAATATATTTATTTGAAAATACTCTAATAGAAAAAATATTCAACATTCGAAACAATAAGAGGAAAATTGAGTAAGTTATAAATTAGTTCCTTTATTTCTTAGAAACGAATTAAGTAATTTTTTTTTTCAAAAATTAAATATTTAGTCATTTATCATGTTTAATTTAATATTATTTATTTTTTAAAAAAGCCATCTTTTTCTCATCCATTCTTTCTAGATTTTTTTAATTATTTTTGTTCTTAAAACAAAAAATTAAAAAAAAACTTAAAATATAAAAATTAAACAATTAGTTCTTGAAACAAAAACAACAAATTAATTCGTTTTCTGAAACTAGAGAGACTCATTTTATAATTTACTAGAGGAAAATCCAATATTTGAACAAGAAAAAGATTAAAAAGTCTAGTATATCGATCCGAATTAGTAGAAATTCATATCTATGTTGATCATAAAGAAGCTTGCAAAATCTGGTGGTTAAAATACCAAAAATGTTGATGCCAACAAATATGCTACTTCTCATCATGTAAATGCAATAAAGAAACGATGGACAGACATATTTGCAACTTGAAAAGTACATGATACCATCACACTACAAAAGAGGTCCTATGTCATTATGAGATTTTGCATGACAATTCATCTTTGTGCCCTTCGAAGGAGATGGCATTTAACCACAATAGTTAATGTTGGACAATATTCCTATCATTTAGCTTCACTTATATATATATATATATATATCCAAAGATGGATGTTGGCCATGCATGTATTTTGCATTATTATTACACACTCTATATCATCTCTATGAACTATTACGTGATTTTTTGTGCAATCGACGTAAAAAAAATAGTCTAAAAACCTATTATTTATAAAAAAAAAAAAAAATCATGACAGTCAAATGAAAATTTAAAAAAATAAAAGAACTATGTTGATTCTACTAAGCTAAATTTAAGATGTAACACATGCATAAAGATTTCAATTAATGGGACATGTGTTGCTTTTAAAATTATCACGTAATTTTTATATGCAGTTAATGTCAAAAAACTAATTTTTTTTAAAAAAAACCTATTATCTAAAAAAATAATTCATGATAGCTAAATTAAAATTTTAGAACATTAAAAACCTATCTCAATTTGACTAAAAATTTGAGATATTTTCGGATCATTTACCCCAATATTGTTTAGAGGAGAGTTTCATCAAGTGAATCATTGTTGCATTCTGATTATTTTATCTATGAAAATAGTTGGTAACAATAGAAGCACCGAAAATAAAAAAAAAAATTCTTGGAGACTGAATTCATGAAGTTCTTGTATATGTCTCCTCTATAGGATTTGAATTCTAAAAAAACAAAAAAATTAAAAAAAAAAGAAACTTTTCTTGAACGTATTTCTCAAATAATGATGTTTACTTAGAACTCAATCGTAAATAAATAAATCTTTGTCTAGCAAAACTTACTCGGGGATGTTTTGCTCTAAGAAAAGAAAGAAGATGAACAATAAGAGAAGATCGATTGTGTCATCTTTACATTTCCCATACATGTACACACTGTAAAGTGGGAAAGAAAGGTTGATGGAAAGGATTGACAGGTCGAGAGGTATCCTAAACATGGGACCCCATAAGATTTTGAGCCGTTAACCATTCTTCCAACAAATAGGAACGTGGCATGTTGGATTGCTGAACATGGGGCAACATGGGCTAGCTAAATAACTTTCTTCTTTTTTTTTTTTTTTTAACTACAATAATAATTAAAAAAAAAGTAAGGTATTCTCACGTCAGTTTAACCTAACAAAATGAATTTTTATTCTTCCTTACATGTGTTAGAGAATATCGTACTAATTCTATATAACATACTAAACTATGAATTATATCAACATTAGCGTAACAACTTCACAAAATTAACATCAATCAACATCCTAAAAACATGTACGATTAATTGTAGTATAGTAAGGGTTGGCCTATGCAGTGAATCATTTAGGTTTCGAAAGATGGACCAATAATATTAGGATTTCCATGGGGCCCATCAGTCAACATTCCTTAAACTATAATTCCCTCCTCTTTGCATGTTTGCACCATTAAGGTCAGGCTACTAGCCTAGCCTTGATTCAAAGCTTCTATGGAGATTGGGAGTTCCAATAGAATATTGGGTTACTTGCGTCTTGTCTACTATAATAATCTATTGGCTTTTGGCTGCTAAGGTTCTAATTAGGTTGGTATAAGCCGTTTTCAAGTAGACTTTCAATGCCACCTCAGGAAGAACTTTATATCAGGCCAGTTAGGTAACATTTTATTGTCATCTAGCCCTAGATTCAGCATGTCAATATTTTTTGAGCATGTATCTAAGCATGACACAAGCCTATTAACTTTTCCAAGCATGCAACACGTAGGAAGCAATAGTGAAAAGTTGCATCTTTTGGCCAAAAAATTTCAGGTTCAGAGACCTGCAGTTCTTCGTTCTCTCGTATGAAATTTATAAACTAGTCTTGTAAATGAATCTCTTATGGATTGAAAGGGAGAACACATTACAAACTAAATAATTGCTCCTCTAGATATGAAATTTCAGCTTAAAATGGAATCCAACTTAACAGGGACCTCTATTTTGAGTGGCGGCCCAGGTGCAGTTTTATGCTGCTAAATTTTCTGCTATAACTCTGCAATCCACCTGGTCCACAGAGAAAGTGTTGCTAAAGATGAAGGACAGCTCCGACAGGACACATCAATGAAGGTTCAAAGCAACAAAAGTTTCCAACAATTTTATAATGTCAGCTTAGCTGAATCTTTTAAAGTTTCCACAATATATGATGGTTATCAAGTAATATACTGTAAACCTGAAGAAAAAGGAAGAAAAACATAGGACTGCTCAACCCACTAGATAAAGGCATTATTGGTTCGTCCAATCGCAGAAAAAAGAGAGAAAAGATACAAAAATTGAGCATCATCACACACTAACTGGAAGTAATTGATTTGATTATCAAGCCATTAATATGCTGCAAACGCTCTTGGTCAGCATCCTCTTCAAAGATGAGCGTTTTGCAATTTTACAGGGAAAGCATGTCATTACCACCAGCACTGTGGAAAATTTCTCCAATGGTTATAATAAAACTCGAATTCAATCTAAATACTAGAACGATGATTCGCCGGTTCTTGTGATTGTCAAAAATTTTGCCAACACGCAGCCGTTGAGTGAGCAAAATTCAAGCAAGATTTTACGAAACAACAGGGGAGCCTTGTTTAGCATAAACCCATCCGGCAGCTGCCGCTTGTTGCCAACATTCAACTGACTAGTTTTTTCAACACTGCTTCAGCACGCTGCTCAAATTTTGGTAGGGCCCATTCATGTTGAATTATGTCAAGACCGTCTTTCTCGGCACTCAAGTTCTGAGGAGAAAGCAAATAGACAAGATCAGGAGTCAATAGTTTTCACTTAACATTATACATGCAAATAACATCTACTAAGTTAAAACACAAAAGAGAAGTTGTACAGTCCAAAATTCTCTCTAGGCACACCCCATACTCGAATATGTTTAGCTGATTACAAGGCATGGCCAGTGAACAATCTTGCCAAATAAATTTTATTTAGATCTTAAAAAGTACAGATCAATACCCAACAATTCCAATCCCTTTGGAAAATGTAATGCTATATTCACACCTTTCCAGACCTGCCATTCCCTAGTCTAAAATTCAACTAACAAAAACAGGGATCAATTATGTCTGTCGGGGTCCCATTAGAAAGATTCAACAATTATAAATCAAACCCCTGATCATGGATTAGACATTTCTAAAGTCACGAAGAAAAGAAAGGCAGTGCTGTTCAGAAAAGTTGGTTAGCGATTATGATGACATGCTTAGCAAATTTAAAACGAATTAAGGTAGCCATCATTAAAAGCCCCACATGCCTAATCATGTAAACCTATGACTGTTTCACAGCAGCATAACTGCTTCCACATGGAGCAAAAGAATGGTCAAGACAGCAAAAAGAGGCTAGCCAAACAGTGAATGGAGATTATAAAGAGACACTGTCTAGTTTCCCACCCATTCTCCCAAACCAAGCAAGCCCTAACTGCACCAAGATGACCTCATATCATTATTAAGTTGACAGAAACAAATTCCACATTCGTGACTTCTGTCTGAACCCTTTTCTAATTTCTCTTTTTTTCTCTTTTTGTGTGTGCATGTGTGTGGTGGTGGTGGTGGTGGTGGTGGAGGTGGGGGCAGATGGGGGTGTGACGCATACTATAAAGAATATCCACAGTGTGACGCGTACTATAAAGAATATCCACAGTTTTCTTTTGGCATTTGCTTGAATTGGTGCAAAATGACACCAGGAGCCAGACATGCATTTATTTATCCACAACCTGCCATGGCAAACCTAGGCCCAGTACTGAGAAAATTAAGCTGGGCCAGAGGCAACATCAAGGCTATCATCTCCCTACTGAGTGTCTTAAAGATTACTGCCTGCAATATTCCTTTTACAATCAATCAATCAAATCAGTCTAATCACAGCCCATTCTTGGCATAGTGCTAGCAAAGAGCGTTATACTTTCGTAGGAACAATTAATAATAAAAAGAGCTCTATAGACTACTACACTAATCTCTTGGTAGATGAAAATTACATCTTTATCACAACATATGAGTCAAGTTCAAGTGCCTATTAAAACCTTTAAATTGACACAGTATACTCTTGTTTATCAACTTCTGAAATATAACGGGATTCATAACTAATTCTATTATAGAGAAATCCAATAACCTACATCAATGATAGAAGGACTTCCTTTACCCCCAAACCATTCTACTAAGTAGCTTTACCCAGAAGAGAAAAAAGAATTAAGGATAAAAAAGGCAAGCTGCATAACAAGACAGCCGGCTAACTAGACCACAAAAGAACTCAATATGATAAGCAAAGCCTGCATCTGAGATAACATGAAAAGGTGCTACCAACGACCCATAACATCATATGGTAGTTTCAGACAACATTTAAAAAAGGCAAGACATTATAAAGAATCCACCCAGATAACTGTTACCGAAACACCAGCACCAGTACTTGCAGCGAGCCTGTAGGGAACCTATTTGCTTCTAATGAGCCCTTGAAACCCCATCAACAGCTCATAAAAAGACTCGATAGTCTTCCTTGGTTGGTACTTGGCAGACAGATGTTGCCTCCAGCACCAAATCGATGGTTCAAAATTTTAGTTGCACATATAGATGTTTGAATTGCCCAATTTACTTATGGACAAACAGTTATTTTAATTTCTTTTACTCATTGAAATAATAAGAGTTACATGCAGTTGTTAAGATGATCCAATTAGCATTGCAAATGGGACAGCTTGATTCAACTCCCAACCATATCCATTCAGATCGAGGTGCTAGTAGAACTGTTGAATCAAAAGATTTTGTGCATGACAGAATTATAAAGATTTATCATTCCTTAGACTCTTTTTGTAATGATAGTGGAACAATTAAATAAACGGCTAAACTTAACTACAAAGCCATAGTGTCCTAGTGGCAGTATTAATCAATTCCCATTGGCACAACCTTGGCCCAAAGTTCTAAATCTATTGCAAAGAGCAGTCTAGATTTAGGACATTAAAATAGAAACCAGCAGATCAATATACACCGGGATTTCTTTTACCATCAATAACAGTCAGATTGCAGTCGAAGTACCAAGGACATTATTAATAACTAAATCTGTTCAAAAAGATCATATAAGGTATGCTCATAATAGATAACAGTTAAAAAAAAAAAAATTAACCATGTAAACAATAGAGAACCACTTAAGTTTGTACCTTTGTTGGATCCATACCAAAACCACTCATTTGCATCATACGCTGTGTATCATCCATAGCTGCATTACAAATATAATATTTGAGAATCTAGAGAGTAAATCCAGAAATCCTAAAGCAAAACTCCAATTTGTGCTTCTAGATTCTAGCACCAATGATTTTGCAAGAGAGGCAACATGCAGGAATCTCAGTCAAAATAGATATAACTATGAAGATTTGTAAACTAATACTAACCATTTTCTTCACCCAGAATGAGACTAAATAAACCCCTTAATCCAAACAAATTAAGGAAATACCTGCAAAAGAATGTGATTGTGGATAATTAGACATTAAACTAGGCAAATTTCCAGAAATTCTCTAGAAAATGCTTTTCAACAGTTCTTTTGAAATAAAACTCATTGATAAATTTAGAGAAATACCATGAACGACTGCTGACATAGCTAACATCAACAGTGCTCAAATCAATCCCGTTTTGCAACATTGATCTGAATCTCTGAGTCAGTGGAAACGGTATCTTGGCTGCAGGGAAAAAGAGATCATTAACAAAGTTGCAAAGATCAAATCTAGTGTGAATTTAAGATCAGAAAAAGTTATTTACTATCTACATTGGAGTATTAAATATAGAGATCAGCCATAGTTAGGTATGAAGGACATAACACGCAGTTTCAGAATCGAAAAACTAAAAAAAGTGACAAAAAAAAAAAAAAAGGACTAACCTGCAACAAATCCAGAGAAGAAAAAGTTGACCCATGCAAAGGTAAGAGTCTGGCCAGCAGGAAAAATAAGAAATCACCATATCAATTAGCTTGTTAGAATAGACACATTAGAGAATCGCAATGAGCTATTGAATTGTTGATACCTGGGGTATAATCATAGAAAGGTTTTTCTTCATCATATCCATGGCCATATTCGGGTCAGAGAACATTTGTGCTTGTGGGTTTTGACCTTGGCCCTTAGGAACATGCAACAATCCATTTTCCTAACCAAAAAGAATAAACTTTCACGTTAGCATCTTACCTACTGAAAAAGGAAAACTTCAAGCTAGCATCAGATTTATGCACCTTAAATAAAGCTTCAAATATCAAATCTATGGTGCACAAACAAAGCATGGCAACCTAGCATTTATCGAAACCCATCTAATTCATTAGAAAAAACAATGTGAATCATGTCAAGCCTATTTCGAAATTTAAGAAAAAAGTATTTTCAAATTTAACACTATCAATCAGATTTTGAGCTTGGACCAACTTTATGAACTACACCGAAACTAACCACAAAAAAACCAAATCCCAAATCTCTTTTACAGTTACACTAACACAAAATTAGCCACAAATCATAACCAATATAGATACTTCCACAAGCAATTAACAAATCCAACATTCAATTACCCGAAACCAAACAAACCAAAAACAACAAAATAAATCAGAACCTCGTTGCTAAAATATGCCCTTCGAGCTCGAAACGACTTAGCAGGTATAAAGTTAGCTCCAGCTCGCAAATTCCTAGCTCTTACAACAACTTGCCTGCAATACAATCACAAAAGGAAACAAAATTTAAGACTAAGACATAGGTTTTCAATAACGTACAAAAAACAAATCACCAAAACCACCAACCAAAACATCAAAAATCACAAAAAGCAACAGACTTTAGCTCTAAACAGAGAATTCATCACATGGGTTTTCAATAAGTAGCAAAAATCCACCAAAACCAGCACAAAAAAAAAAAAAAATCTAAATCTCAAAAAGAAACAAACTTCAACACTAAAAAGAGAATCAGTGCAATGGGTTTTTGATAACTTACCCTTCTTTAACAACTTTAGCATCTGGGTTTTGCTGAGATCGCATAAGCTTTGAAACAAAGTAACGAAGGATCCCAATGAGAATCATCACTACTGTTAATGGGATCAAAACCCAATCTCTTATAGCTGTATCCAACACTAGATCTTCTGCCATTGATTTCTTGATTGGACCCCACCAAAACTGACACAAAGTTTCGATCTTTTGATTGATTAATGTTGTTTTTGCTCTTTGGCTCTGGTCTGGTCTCTCTTTTTATCAGCTTGTTTTGGATTGAAGGTGAAGGGATGTGAGTGTCTTTGTGGAATCGGTTAGGGATATTGTTGTCTTTTAGAGTTATCGAGATTTAAAACGCAGAGTTTTCAGTTTTGATTAGGAGACAAATTGTAGGTTGCCACGTGTACAGTTTTCGTTATTTTTCAGGAAAGGAAGTTTCTGTCTCTGGGCTTTTTCGTCTGTCTTGGTTTGGGTTGTCCGTGGTTATGGTCTTCGATGACCTTTGAATTGCGCCGATGTCAAGTGGGCCCTATGATATTGGCAATTAGAATGATGGTTAAATCCGAAGATCATGTCCCTATAAGTTGATTGGGATCTTTTCGCATTCTTTTATAAAATTAAAGAAAATCTATATAATTCAAAGATGAAAAAAATTGAAAAACTAAAATTTAGAATGTTATGTTTTGGATAAAAGAGTTTAATCATTTTTAAATTTTAAGTCATTTAAAGTTGAGTTCTTAAACCTTTTTATTAGTTTTGAAGATTCTTGAATTTTTAATTTTTTAATATTTGGTTTATTTAATAATTTTTAGATATCATTTTCCTCTTTAATTTTTTTTTTTTTTTTTTGTATTTAGAAATAAAATTTTGCACATGTGTTGAAAAAAAATTAGATCCATTTTGTAAAAAAAAAATTAGATTTTTTTCAAAATTGAAAACTATATACTTTTTATTTTTTGAACATTAAAATATAAAAAATAATCCCGATATGATTATGAATTTTTTGAGAAACCCCACATAAATCTCATTAAGTGATTTTATTATAAAATTATTTATGTGATTCTTATTTTTTTTGAGACAAATGCCAAAAACTTAAAAATTATTTATGTAAAATAAAAAATGAATTCTTTATAGTGGTGGCTACGAGGACAAGGATGGTTGTGACAGGAGAGTTTAGATTTTTATAGTGGTGACCGATTTAATTCTTTATAGTAATACCCCTCCTCCTTTGCTCCATTAATTACTAACTACTAATACTAATTTTCTAACTCCTAATAATTGAGTGGGTTGTGGGGTTCCTATTTATGAAAAAAAATAAAAAAATAAATTTTTGGCTTAGTAATAGTGAGCCTGAAAGGAGGTTATGGTCACAAATTTTCTTTTTTAAAAACTTGAGTTTAAAAAAAAAAGTCTTATTACAAGAAGATGTTCAGAGTAGGTCTTTAACACTCCTCTAGCTCTTAACACTAATCTCGACTGTTTAAATTCTAATTGTAGACTATATTCATTGATTGCTAATTTATGCAACTTAAGTACTTAGGAAAATTTTGTTCTACAAACTGAGACATTTTATAAAACTACAAAACTAAGTAAAACGTCCTTTCACGATTCAAGAATACTCTTAGAGTTCAAAACCTTAACAACCGAATTATGAAATGAAAAGCTTAAGAAACTTAATTATGGGGAAATTACACTAATCCCTTATTTGAAAACCATTAAAATTAACTTTCAAATCCCAACTTGGTCATGCCTTTTTCAGCCCTGATGATAGTCAATTGGTGAAACCAGGCTTGCCACAATAGGAGTCACCAAAAATCTTCGAGGAGCTCCAGAAATAGGATTGATGATTCTGTAGGTGCCCTTCTTGGGATCATGCAGAATTCTGGTTTTTTCACCTGCCTCTATCAGAATTTCACCATTCTTCAAAACAGTCAGAGGCTTCAGAAAGATATAGTTGTAGCCCTCAACTCTCTCAGGCAACTTAATCACAAAACGCAATTCCCATGAATCCTTCACACCATATTCCCTCATGGACCAAATGTAAGCCTCATCATATTTTGAAAGATAGAAGGTTGATACCAATCCATCAAACACACTTACCTCCATATGAATTGCGTCGTGATAATTCACAAGAGGCTGAGGAATCTCCTTGAACTCTTCTTTGTTCATGTCATAAGACACTATCAAATACCTCCCTGTTCTTCCAAGCCCGCTAGTTGCTTTCCAGATAAGAAAATCATTGCCAAGCCAAATAGCAGCTTTATAACCCAGATGGTATGGAATAACTCCAATATCCTTCCACTCATCAGCTTTCAAAGAGTAGACTCTAGCCTCACAGTCATAAGAGTCGATGTCAATAAAAGGCTTATCATATATATAAACACACCTTATGACCTTGTAATCATCAGCTGTTTGATGGTAACCAAACCCTAACGTGGTGAAAGAGTTCTCAACTATGGCAATATCGAAACCCGAGAACGGAAGGTGTTTGAAAACCCCAGTAGAGGGATTCAATAGAAAGATATCTTGATTGCACTGTTGATCCGAGATGCAAAGCATGCCATTGCATGAACCAGAAATTTCTACTTTTTCTAAGCACAGAGAAAAAGGCATTGGCAGCCTTCTTGCTTTGCTCCATTCATCATCTTCAACATAGAAAAACTTGGAGTCCAGCTTCAGGATAAGATTTGGGTTCTTCACAGTTGCTCTCTTGAGATGCTGCTTAACAAATTCTGGATTGCCAAGGAGTGCAAACATGGACTTGGATAAAATCTTGAATCTTGTAAGAGACTTGACAGGCAATCTTGTAAAAATATCACTGATGATATCACTAGGAATGTTAGCTGACATTTCAGTGAATACAGAGTTGCTGGTGGATGCGGTTGAATTTGGTGAACTCATTTTGTGCTATACTGGTATATTTTGAGCGTAATTGTGTGGTAAGAATGAAGAAGATGGGGGTATATATCGACAAAAAAGGAGTGCTTATTGGCCATATTGGCATAAATGGAGAATATCTAAGCGGATTATGATCTAATTGTTGGAGAGAATCCAAAATTTATTACTCATATCTTGTCATTTGGCCAATGTGCAAAATGACATTAATGAAATTTAGAAACTAAATCCATAAACAATTGAAGAGATCTAATGATCACAATCTGTATGTAGCACATTAATGGATGCATTTTTTTCACCTTTTATTCGTGAGAATATGATGCAATTTTTTTTTCCTTTTTAAAAAAATGTGATTTCTTGAGTAAAATTGATTCAACTAGCTAGAATACTATATAGTATCATGGTTGGTGTCATTTAATAATGTGACTTGAATATTTCAAGAAATTTTAAATTGTGTTTTCTTAGGGATAGGAAAAATATAATTAGAGATGAAAGAAAGGAATTTTATTCCGTATGTAAGCAATCAAAGAGCAAAGAAAATGTTGAAACCTCCAAGGCTTTTTAGATTTCCTATAAATTTTAATTAAAATTTGAAATTAATTTTGAATATCTGACATTATAGGTGTTCAAATTTAAGTTTGTCATTATTTATGTTTTATTCCATTTGAGCATTTTAAGTAAAATAATTTATTCAACAATTTTTAAATATTACGTCACGTTGAGATGCTATACGGATATGATATTAATTATGTATAGATATTATATTAAACATTATAAATTGTCAAATTTAAGTTTGTCGTTATTTATACTTTATGCCATTTGTGCGTTTTAAGTAAAATAATTTATTTAGCAATTCTTAAATACTACGTCACGTTGAGATGCTATATAGATATGATATTATGTATGAGATACTAAACATTATTGATGATCAAATTTAAGTTTATTGTTATTTTTACTTTATGCCATTTGTGTATTTTAATTAAAATAATTTATTTAGTAATTTTTAAATATTACGTCACGTTGAGATCCTATATGATATTATGCATGAGATACTAAACATCATAGATGGTTAAATTTAACTTTCTCATTATTTTTGCTTTATGCAATTTGTGCGTTTTAAGTAAAATAATTTATTTAACAATTTTTAAATACTCGTGTCATATTGAGATGCTATATGATATTATGTATGAGATACTAAACATTATAGATGATCAAATTTAAGTTTGTCATTAGTTTTGCTTTATGCCATTTGTGCATTTAATTAAGTAAAATAATTTATTCAATAATTTTTAAATATTATATGTCCCATTGAGATGCTATATAGAAATGATATTATACATGAGATACTAAACAATGTATTTGAAACTAATATGTGAATATCTACACCACAAATGGCCAAATTCAAGTTTGTCCTTGTTTTTTATTGACACTTTTTAGTGTTATATAAATTATTTAATAGCGTTGAAATGTCATATATCATAGATAGTCAAATGTAATTTTGTTGTTAGTTCCGCTTTGTCATTTGTATATTTTAAGTAAGAGAAATTATATAGTAACTTCTAAATACTACGTCACTTTGAAATGCTATGCAAATATGATATTATATCCGAAATACTAAATATTATATTCAAAATTAATTATGAAAATCGCACGATAGATAGTCAAATATAAATCTATCTTTAAATCTGATTGACACTTTTTAGTGTGTAGTAAATAATTTAGTAGTACTAAAATGCTAGATGTCTTAGATAGTCAAATTTAAGTTTGTCGTTATTTTTATTTAGGCATTTGTGCATTTTAAGTAAGAGAAATTTTTTAATAGCTTCTAAAATGAGACACTATACAAATATGATCATGAATGAAACATTAAACATTAGATTCGAAATTAATCGTAAATATCTACATCACAAATAGTCAAATTCAAGTTTACACTTATTTCTAATTTAACATTGTTTAATGTTTTGTAAATTATTTAGTAGTGATGAAAATGCCACACCACTATTGTAAGTTATAGTATCATACCTTTATTGATTTAACAATGTGACTTGAACATGTTAAGAAATTTTAAATTGTGTTTTCTTAGGGATAGCAAAAATCTAATTAGAGATGAAAGAAATGAATTTTATTCCTTGTGAAATCAATCAAAGAGCAAAGAAAATGTTGAACCCTCTAAGGCTTTTTAGATTTCCTCTAACTTTTAATTAAAATTTGAAATTAATTTTGAATATCCGACATTATAGGTGGTCAAATTTAAGTTTGTCGTTATTTCGTTTTATGCCATTTATGCATTTTAAGTAAAATAATTTATTCAACAATTTTTAAATACTATGCTATGTTGAGATGCTATACATACAAATATGATATTACGTATGAGATACTAAACATTATAGATGGTCAAATTTAAGTTTGTCGTTATTTTTGCTTTATGCCATTTGTGCATTTTAAGTAAAATAATTTATTCAGCGATTCTTAAATACTACATCACGTTGAGATGATATACAAATATGATATTATGTATGAGAAACTAAACATTATAAATGGCCAAATTTAAGTTTGTCATTATTTCGCTTTATGCTATTTATGCATTTTAATTAAAATAATTTTTTCAGTTAATTTTAAATACTACATCACGTTGGGATGCTATAAAGATATAATATTATGTATGAGATACTAAACATTATAGATGGTCAAATTTAAGTTTGTCATTATTTTTGTTTTATGCCATTTGTGCATTAATTTTAAGTAAAATAATTTATTCAATAATTTTTAAATACTACATCACATTGAGATGCTATATAGATATGATATTATGTGTGAGATACTCAACATTGTATTTGAAATTAATCGTGAATATCTACACCACAAATGGCCAATTTCAAGTTTGTCTTTGTTTTTTATTGACACTTTTTAGTGTTCTATAAATTATTTAGTAGCTTTGAAAGGTTAGACATCATAGATAGTCAAATTTAATTTTGTTGCTATTTCTACTTTGTCATTTGTATATTTAAGTAAGAGAAATTCTATAGTAACTTTTAAATACTACATCACATTGAAACACTATACGGATACGATATTATATCCGAAATATTAAATATTAGACTTGAAATTAATTATGAATATCCGCACCACATATAGTCACATATAAATCTATCTTTGAATCCGATTGACACCTTTTAGTGTCTAGTGAATAATTTCGTAGTATTGAAATGCTAGATAGATAGTCAAATTTAAGTTTGCCGCTATTTTTCTTTAGCCATTTATGCATTTTAAGCAAGAGAAAATTTTAATAGCTTCTAAATGTTACGTCACATTGAGACACTACGCAAATATGATCATGTATGAAATACTAAATGTCACATTAAGACACTACACAAATATGATCATGTATGAAATGTTAAATATTAAATTTGAAGTTAATTGTAAATATCTACGTCACACATAGTCAAATTCAAGTTTACTCTTATTTTTTATTTAATATTGTTTAATGTTTTGTAAATTATTTAGTAGCGATGAAAATGCCACACCACCCTTGCAAGTTATAGCATCATACCTTTATTGACCGTGATTTGGTTAAGTTCTGTGTGAATTTTCTAGTTTTGACGTGAATAAAATATTTTTGTAGAATGAAAAAAATAAATTTAATCTTAGTATTCACAAACTAACATAAGAACATATAGAACTCGAATAAAAAGCAAAATTACCAACAGTTTGGTAATCTTGGCTAGTTGGAAATATTGTATACTAGAAAAACAAAATACTACAAAATCGACATGTTATTTTCTGATCGACTCGCATGTTTTTGCAAAGAGATCATAACACATTAATTAACGTTATAATGATCAGAACAAAACATGATAATGCCTTGTCTTCTTTTTACCCCATAAGCTATGCAAACATTTAAACCATGTTTTTTTTTCCTTACATAAATTTTGTAAGATACCTGATCATGTTACTATTGTCAAAAGAACAGGAACCTCCCTAGATTACTGTTTGAAGCAATCTGAAGTGTTGCTTCAGATTCTTTTCTTACAAAGAAACCCCACAAAAATTCTTTTCTTACATGTTGCTTAACCTCTCTATATTCGAAAGGTCCCTTAAACCAATTCTTTATCCTCAAAACTTCTATTTATGTTTGCATCACATGCTCATCTTCATTCTTTCAACATTCAAATGGCCATTGTCTCTCCCCCAACCTTGTTAACTGGCACAAGGTTAGTCTCAATTTCTCCTCCAAAACTCATCCCCCAAGCAAGGAATTCCTATAATCCTATTACTATTAGTCATAAAAATATATTTACAAGAACTTGTGCATATGTTGCTAAGGGTCATTCACCATTGTTGCACCAACCTTTGATCGAAACAAGCTTCTCTTCTAGGCATAGAGGGTTACTGCAACTAGTGCCATCAAGTGCTAAGACCTCATCAGGATCAGGAGAGGAAGATAACCCAGCTGTAGACACAGTTCTCAAGCTTTACACTGCAATCAAGAATCAAAACATTAAGGAATTGTCTGATATAATTGGCGACGAATGCCGATGTGTATGCAATTTCTTCTCCTTTTTCCAACCCTTCCAAGGGAAGCAGGTACCAATCAAATTTTCAATTTGCTAATTTTACCTTCTAGTTTAGCATGATACTCATGACTGGTTGGAATGTATGTGTGTGATCCCTCTTTTTCTTGCAGCAAGTGTTGGACTTCTTCAAAGTTCTGATCAAATTCTTGGGAAATAATCTTGAATTTGTAGTGCAGCCTACCTTGCAGGATGGACTCATTGTTGGTGTAGCATGGAGGCTAAGTATGCCACTGCCTTCTATCTCTCTTTCTTATCGTCCTTTTTTTTTTTTTTTTAACACTTTGGAAAAACCTCATTAACATCCCTATAACCTCTATCTCAATTTTATCTATTTCACTCCAAACCCTAGCTATTAGAAATTAGGCAATGTCACCTTTCCACATGAAAAAAATACATGAAACAAAAAAAAAAAAAACACCTGATAATTCTGGATGGAAGGGAAATTTTGTTTAATTTTGATTAATTTTTGGATGAAATTGATAAAAAGTAATTGTTGTGGGTGAAATCGAAAACCAAATAATATCTTAGGGACATAAATGGGATTCTCTCTCTCTCTCTCACTTTTGATGAGTTGCAAGGAAGCTTTGATAACCATAGTTTTCTGTTGGTTTATTTATTTTGTAGACTGGAGCAAAACACATATACCTGTAGGAAAGGGTTTCAGCTTCTACATTCTCCAAGTATACCAAGGGAGGGTGGTGATAAGGTGTGTAAAAACTTTACCACAAAATTATCCATGAACCACAGAATTTAAGAAACAGAAATAACCATTCAAGTGAATTTGTAAATAATTATGAGATATTAGTATATAGAACTAATTTATATAGACAAAACCAATAGCATTACAAAACATTCGGCCATTATATTTAGTAATGATAGTCAGATTTATTACATCAATTAGAAATGATCATTCGGTTTTTTTAGTTCGATTTTTAATAATTTCTATTCGATTTTCATTAACCGAACCTACAAAAACAAAGCTGAATTTAAATCGGATTATTATTCTATTTTTTTTATTTATAAATTAAAATTTCGGTTTTTGGTTTTTTTTTTTGTTTAAATTGATTTTTTTTCCAATTTTTTAATTTTTTTAAAAAAATGTAAATAGATAAAAAAAAACTATCAATCTATCATTTATCTATAAAAATATCAAGATATTGATTTTTGATTTATTTACATTATTTTAAAACTAAAAAAAAAAATCAAAAAGAAAAAAAATTTCAGTTTTCGATTAAATCAAACCAAAAATTCCTAGAACTAAACCGAAAAAAAATTCGGTTTATTTTTTTATAAAAAATTTGAGGTAAAAACCGAATCCAAATATTAATTTCGATTTGGTTATGTTCAATTTAAACCAAATAGTACTTACTCGTAACATCAACCAATTAGACAGCTTTAGATTTCGATCAACATGAACTGGTTGCTAATGCTTGAGCTTTCCATCCATCTCATAAATGGCACTATATATTTCAGGAACGTGGAGATGTTTATGGAACCACTTGTTCATATTGAGCCTTTTAGAATGGTAATTATTAAATCCCAAAATTCTTCTTTTACTGAATTTGGTATAAATCAGAAACAATGGATGACTCCTTTTCACACATTAATTATAGACACTTTTTCTTTTTTTGCAGAAAATGATGGGATATGCGATGAACATAATAGACAAGATGAGCTGCTGTAAATTGTCCAAAGATAAGGTGAAGAAAGCTATGTTTGTTTTGATTTTGCTGGCTATCATTTTAGCATTTTCAATGCCAGCGATGTATTAGGCCAAGGTCACGAACAATACAATATAAGATGCAATCGCAGAATCTCTTGTTTCAGCTAGTGGAACACTTGGCTTGTTCAAAGATTCTTTAAAAATGCTGGTTAATAGCTAAATTTATTTTTATATAGTAAAATAATTTTTTAATTTATCTTTTTATTTTTAATTATGTCAATTTGATTTTTGAATATACGTTAAGTTTTTAATTTATTTTTTATCATAAATTTTTAAGCCAAATCACTGATTAATTTTTTATTTTTAAAATATCTTTACAAGCTAGTTAGATAGAAAAAATCGCTATTTGATAGGGTTTTTTTTATGCCTATAAATTCCATTGGATTAGAAATAAAAGCTTTCATGTGTTAATCCTATCACTAATTTCAATAGTTTAGTTTGAACATCTTATCAAAAGAATAAATTGAACGATTAATATATATTTAAGAATAATATTAATTTAATTAGAAATATAGAAACATATCGAAGAATTAGATATGTTATAAATACAAATTAATCCATTAACCCTTAAAATTATGTAAAGAAGTAACTATTTTTTTATTTTTAAAATATCTTTACAAGCTAGTCAAATAGAAAAAATCGTATTTGACAGGGTTTTTCTTATGCCTATAAATTCCATTGGACCAGAAATAAAGGCTTTCACGTGTTAATCCTATCACTAATTTCAGTAATTTAGTTTGAACATCTTATCAAAAGAATAAATTAGACGATTAATATATATTTAAGAATAATATTAATTTAATTAGAAATATAAAAACATATCGAAGAGTTAGTTATTTTATAAATACAAATTAAGCCATTAACCCTTAAAATTATGTAAAGAAGCAAATACTATTTGAGACGTGCATTCAAGCAATACAGCAAGAAGAAGATGGTCAAATGCTTTATGATGCTGCTTAAAGCAATACTTTTACCCATTAATTTAATAGACAAGGGAATGTCATGAATGAAAGATTGAGGAATTTTTCTTCATTCCATTGCCCGATTGTGCCTTCCTGCTGACAATAAAAGCCCAAAGGATCAAATTAATTTAATAAAACTATATTAAATAGTTTAACTGAATAATTAATCTTTATTTAATGAGATTTTTATCTGGAAAGGAATGAGGTGGGCCCAATTGCAACTTTCATGTTCTTTTCTTATAATATTCGTAAAGTAACCAAAAGCAAGATCAACCAACAAATTGTTGGTTTAATAGAAAATTTATCTGTGATTTATTTCTAATTTATTTATGGAAATGAATTTAATTTTATTGTTTTAGTTCTGAACATGATTATTTTTATTTTTAATATAAAATAAAAATATTTAGATAAAAAAATGTTAATGGCAAATTTATGTCTTATTTTTTATAATAATTTATTTTGAGATTAGCAGTTTAGACACTATACTATGTGAAATCTCACCTTTTGCTTTTAATTAAAAATCATTTTTTTAATAAACTCATCTGGGTTTTGATTAAGGCCATTTGATCTGATCGGATAGATGTTTATGGACATTTAGAGACTTAGAGTAGTCCAACTACAAACCTAATTTCAGATCAAGTTCTGAACTTTTTATATTGGCCTTTTTTTTTTTTTTTTGACGATAAATGTATTTTTAGGTTAACATGCATTAATTGGTACTAATTTTTTTTTGAATAATTTTAACAAAGCATATTATATATTAGCTTGATATTCATAAATATTTAATGGACAAAAGTTTCAAGATTTGAATCCAAAATATCAATAAAATCCATAAAATTTTACATATATGGATATAATGAGGATTTTAGTAAAAATAAACTCTAAAAATTCCAAATGAACTCTCCCTCATCTCTCTCCCAATCTATAATTTTTGGATATTTTTCAGTAATTAATTTTTGGATAATAATAATAATGAAAAATGAAAAACATAATATATAATTTTTGGATATTTTTCAGTAATTAATTTAATTTTTCTTTTTGTTAGCCAGCATTGGGAATAAATGCATCCCCACGTACACGTTAGAGATTGCTAACCTCCACCACACTGTCTCTCTCCCAATCTCACGAAAAAAAAAAAAAACTCTCCCTCATCTCTCTTTTTCTCTCTCTGCCTTTTACTTTTCGATTTTCAAAAGAAGCCCGCATTCGCATTTTGTCTCAGTTTCTTTGATCAATCTCCCAGTCTCCTTCAAAAAAATGTCCGAAAAAATTTGATTGGTTTTGTTCGATTCTGATCTCAAGGTACAATTCTCAAGATTTTGGTTTTCTTTTCGTATTCTTTTAAGTTTTCAGCCTCTTTGGTCATTTTATGAAATGGGTTTTGGAGATTTTTGGATTCTTAATTGAATTTGATGAAAAAAGACCCTTTTAGCAGATTTTGAGCATTTTTTCTTAGCTTAGCTTATTTTGGAATCTGTGTTTTTATGCTCGTTTGTTGGCATTGGTATATCAGAGGTTTTTAAGGGGGTTTTTTTTTTCTCTTTTTTTATTTTAGCTTATTTTAGAATGTTTTAAGCTTGTTGTGGGTTTTTATGCTGGTTCAGAGAAATGGGAGGTTTTTGGGTTTTATAGAGTTTTTATTTTTTGTTCGTGCATTGTAGCTTGTTGGGTGGTATTAAGATGAAGAGGTTAAAGAATGAACCTTCTGGCAATAGGAGGTGCAAATTGTCGCATATGTTTTTGGGTATAGGAGCATTATACTTGGTGGTTTTAGCATTCAAGTTTCCACATTTTTAGAGATTGCAGCAATGTTGAGTGGGGATGATAGTTATGTTGGATTGGATAGTTATGTGGGATTGGATTCGTCATCTATGGTAAAAGATGCTGAAGATTCTGATTTAAGTAAACCTTTTTATAGTTCGGTTTATAAGGATACGTTCCACCGGAAATTAGACGATAATCAAAACCAAAATGCTCCGATGATGCCTAGTAAGGAACCTTTGGAAGAAGAAAAAGGAGCAGGGTCTAAAACTATAAAGCCACTTCAGTATCGTTATGGTCGAATAACAGGAAAAATTATGAGGCGAAGGAATGCAACTATGAATTTATCACTGCTTGAGAGAATGGCTGATGAGGCTTGGCTACTTGGGTTAAAGGCATGGAAGGAAGTGGAGAAGTATGATGGGAAGGAGACCGGACAGAGTTCTTTATATGAGGGGAAGATTGATTCGTGTCCTTTGTGGGTGTCCATGAGTGGAGATGAGTTGGCTGGAGGGGAAAAGATGATGTTTCTTCCATGTGGTTTAGCTGCAGGGTCTTCTATAACCATTGTGGGAACACCCCATCATGCACATCAGGAGTATGTACCCCAGCTTGCGAGGTTGAGGAGTGGTGATGGTATTGTTATGGTTTCACAGTTCATGATTGAGCTGCAGGGGTTGAAGTCAGTGGAGGGAGAGGATCCACCAAAAATTCTACATTTAAATCCTCGATTGAGGGGAGATTGGAGTCGGCATCCAGTCATTGAGCATAATACCTGCTATAGGATGCAATGGGGGACAGCTCAAAGATGTGATGGTTTGCCATCCAAGAAAGATGAGGACATGTTGGGTAAGAGTCAACGTGTTTTAATTGTGTTAATTAACTTGTTTTTCCTTGTTTGCTTATGTATGTTAAGTCAAATACAACTTGGAAAGATGTTATTTAATTGTGTTAATTATTTTCTTCTGTTCATGGGTGCCAAAACCACAAATAGCATTCCCATTATATGCTGGAAATTAATGAGATATAAAGAATTTTCTCAAGTTGGATTTTTACGTTAACATTGTGAGTGTGTTTTGGGGGTGGGGGCATTGGAACACGGATTCACTTAGAAACACTAAAGGATTCTAAATAAAAATGGCTTGAGGCATTTTAATGAGACTCAAGTCCCTGGAATTGATTTTTTAAAGTTTTGGACATTCTCTGGACACTTATCTTCACACCTTCTGTTGTGTGAGGTGAGAGAGATTTGGTTGCTTTTCTTAATTTTTTATACAGTTCGATTAGAAATAGGGGCAAAAGCTAAAACTGCTTATGGTAAATTATTAGTTTGAACAAGAAATAATTGGAAGAACGGTATTGTTGCAGAGAGAGAGAGGTAAACCAAAACTCGTTCAGAAATTTTGAATGCAACATCAATTTCAGATTAAAAATTGCACTAGTGACTATTTACATCAGGTCAGCGTTTGATTTATGATTTTATGCTAGGACGCTGGTAAGGTCTCATCTAGTTATGTTTTAGTATCTACTGGTTAGGTGTATGTGGCTTTGTGGTTATGCTGTCATGTAACTGTCTCACTTGAGTTGCAATATTCAGATCTGACTCTTAGCTCTAGATTGTTTCTCCTGTTTCCCCATTAAGGACCTAGACATTGCTTTTGACATGTGATGCCAATTTCTGCAGCACCTTTCTTTTCATCTAGAAAATGATTTGCTTTTGTCAGAATTTATATGTTAGCACTTGGCAGATAACTAGATTTGAAAAGTAGGTTGAGAGTATCTTTAAGCATTTGTATTAAGAAATATAAACATTTTGTTGCTGCAAATCAAGTGAAAGAAATATCAACCAGTGCTTGATGCTTCTAGGGAATTCTATTTTAACTTTGCTTTTCTAATGCATATATTTGGCAGTTGATGGACATGTAAGATGTGAGAAATGGATGCGTAATGATAACGTAGATTCAAAAGAGTCCAAGACGACCTCATGGTTTAACAGATTTATTGGGCGTGAACAGAAACCTGAAATGACCTGGCCATTTCCTTTTGTGGAGGGCAGATTGTTTATCCTGACCTTGCGTGCTGGTGTTGATGGATACCATATTAGTGCTGGGGGCCGGCATGTGACCTCATTTCCATATCGTCCGGTACGTTTATATAGATGAGAATAAAGTGATTGTTACACACTATGACAGTTTTTTCCTGTTTCTCCAACTCAAATGGTGAATCTTGGCCTTCTGGATTTGGAAAATATATTTGCATATCTGATGCACAATGGTCTTTCTAATGGTTCCATCCACCCACTAGGGAGAAACAGTACTTTCAAACTGTTTACAAGATTCGCATTTTTCTGTGAAGGTTTATATGAACTAAGCTCATTCCTGTTTGTTCGTAATAGTTGTGTTTGTTAGAGTGGTATTATGCTTCCTTTCAAGTTTATATTTCAAACGGACTTCATATTTTTTCTATTAAAATAAGCTCAAAATATTTTCCTATAAGATTTTTCTGTACCTTCAGGGATTTACCCTCGAAGACGCAACGGGATTAGCAATCAAAGGAGATGTGGATGTTCATTCAATTTTTGCCACTTCTCTGCCCAGCTCTCATCCAAGCTTCTCTCCTCAACGAGTACTGGAAATGTCAGAGAAGTGGAAAGCTCATCCTTTACCAAAGAGTCCAATTCGACTTTTTATTGGCATCCTATCAGCTACAAATCACTTTGCAGAACGCATGGCAGTTAGAAAAACTTGGATGCAATCATCAGTAATCAAGTCTTCGAATGTTGTTGCTCGTTTTTTTGTTGCTCTGGTAAGATCTCTACATGTATTTATTTATTTATTTTTGAGGAGTGTTTAATTGTATCAACAGTCACACCATTATTCCCTGATTTGAGAAAGACCCTTCAACCATCAAATCTATTCTTTCAACTTCTTCTAAAATTTAGATTAGTGCATGTAATTTTACAAGTCAAGAAACTTGGATGCTAGGATCAATCTCTTTCTTTGCCCTTCAACCTCTGTCGTTGTAACCAAAGTCTAGGGCGGTGCTGGTGTAATCTTAGGTTAAAATTTTGCCTTGCAAAGAAATGTACCCGGTGACACTCACTTAAATATGCATGTTATACAACAATTGCATGTGTGGTTTGCTCGATTCATGTGCCCTTTCTCTTCTTTGTTTCTTTTGGAGGAAATGCTTTAGAATTTTCTTATTCCTTCTTTCCCAAAATTAAGATCCATTATTCCCTTGCTTATGTCCATGGTTAAAAGTTAAGGGGGTAGTTATTCTGCAAGTTCTCATTTTGCCTTTCTATCTAGTACATATCACATGTTAAGGGCTCATTGTGCATATGTGAGAGCGTGTACTTCTCATTGTTGAATTATTTAATCCACTTAATGTAGCATTGTGCAATCTTTACGATGGACCATTAATTTGGAACAGCGGAAGTGAGATCATGGTTATTTACTATTCATTTTTTTCCCCATTCTTCTTAGCTACCAGTTTTATAACATTCATACTCAAATTAATTTTTGTGCTTGTTTTCGAAAATCACAGAATCCAAGGAAGGAGGTGAATGCAGTTCTAAAAAAGGAGGCAGCGTACTTTGGTGATATTGTGATTTTGCCATTTATGGATCGATATGAGCTTGTTGTTCTTAAAACTATTGCAATTTGTGAGTTTGGGGTAAGTCTATGCCTCATCCATCGATCATCTTTCATTGAATCTTTTTAAAGAGGATCTTTGAGAACTTGCAATTGTGTATTTATGTATATCTCCTGAATCTAGTTTTTAATATATCTGAATGTTCTGCATTCAGGTTCAAAATGTTTCAGCTGCATACATTATGAAATGTGATGATGATACATTTGTTAGGGTGGAAACCGTCTTGAAAGAAATTGATCGTACCTCTCCCTATAAGTCTCTTTATATGGGCAATCTCAATCTCTTACATCGTCCTCTAAGACATGGCAAATGGGCAGTTACTTTTGAGGTACGTTGGTTTTCATTCATTCATGAGGTTTTTGTCCTTAAAATCCCTTGTAACAATGTCTTCGCTCTTATTAATTCAATTTTTTTGTTCCTTTTTCTTTTGAAAAACGAAGAAAAACATAAAAAAGTTTGGGAAAAGGGGGTAAAAGGCAAATTATTACGATCTCTACAGAGTACACATCTCAGCAATCTCTTCTAGGATCACATAAGCTAACTGGGTGTTGGCCTGAACATTCATGAAAAGAAGTTACAAGAAGTTTTGCTTGCCTATCAAGCTGTACGGCATTCTCTGCTGTACTAGAAGCAACATTGGTGATACTGATCATGGCAAGGAATGGATGTAGGTCCAGGAACTTGTTTAAGGCATAGAATGACATAAGACAGCTCTGAGAAGGCTTTTTGTGCTTCTTAATTAGTTTTGATAAGGGTTTAGTTATTCATTTATTTATTTTTGTTGTAAATAATTTCATCATCCCTAACCTGCTAGCAGAGTCATCCTTAAACATGGTCTCTCTCTCTCTCTCTCTCTCTCTCTCTCTCTCTCTCTTTCTTTTGATTTTGGTATTTGGTACAATGTTCTAGTTGAGCTCCTTTCATGAATCAGATGGTCCTGAACATGCGATACATATTGTTGCTTTGACTAGGAATGTAAAATGGAAAGGAAACTAGTATTCTAGATGTCGTTCTCTATGTTGCTTCTCTTTGATGAATTCAAAATCTTGTTTTCTCTGTTTTTTCTGGATGAGTAGGACCTGAATGATAGAATTGTTTTGGTGTGTTCACTTCTTGCATTTGAAGGTTATTGCCTATTGTAACAGGAATGGCCTGAAGAAGTATATCCTCCTTATGCCAATGGACCTGGATATGTAATTTCTGCTGATATTGCTAAATTTGTCATTGCTCAACATAACAAACAAAGCCTGAGGGTTAGTGATACTATAATCTTATTTAATACCTTCTTTAATTGGAGGATGCTTTCTCTCCCTTATATTAGCAATTCTTTGACAGCTGTATTTCCCATCATGAAAATATTGTTACCTTTCATTGCAGCTCTTCAAGATGGAAGATGTGAGTATGGGAATGTGGGTTGAACAATTTAACAGCTCCGCCTCTGTCCAGTACTCCCACAGCTGGAAATTCTGTCAATATGGATGCATCGAGAACTATTATACTGCACATTACCAATCCCCAAGGCAGATGATGTGTCTTTGGGACAAGTTGGCGAGAGGTCGAGCTCAATGCTGCAACTTTAGATGACAAATATGTTATCAGATGTCTGCAAGGAGCCTTTAGATGATGGCGGCAGGTTTATTACATTGGTTGATCCCACGCTCATATTCTTATCCTTCTTTTACGCTTCCACCCTCCGGTCAGGTCACCTTTGCCGATTTTGTTCGTTTAAGTAGGCTCTAGAGATGGCTGTTTTTTTATTTCAGCCTTGATTTTGGAAGAACAGACTGTTTTCATATTGTAATTGAAATGGCTTATAGGTAAGGCCAAAACATTTTGGCTTCAACTAAAAGCTGAAGAAATTGTATATACGCTATCTTTCTATAACAAACATCGATTCAGTTGATGCGAAAGTGAGAAACTCCGTTCAACTCATTACATCCACTGTTGCAATAGGTTTGGAAACGTTAGAAACGTTCAGGCGGATATCAGCAGCATAAAGTTCAACCGGGTGTCATCAATATCCGGTTGAAACGTTTACATAAATTTTGTAATGTTTTTTAATTGATTTTTTTAGTTAATAAGCCATGTGGATCCTGTGTGGAATTCTATTTGGTACATTAAGTCGAGTGTTCTACTCCAATATGGCTGCCATTTCTGTTTCTATCAGAATTTACGTAGAAAAAACTCACTTATGTTAGCATTGTTACTAAAAACTTAGTTCGCGAATGTTCTATTCAAAATTAAAAAAACGAATTATTCAAAATTGAAAAAACAAATTAATGTGTTTAAAAAGTATAAACTTCGTGATTTTTTTATTTTTATACTTCTTCTCCATCTTTGTTTCAATAAAATAATAAAAGACAAAGAAATATTTTATTATTCCTCTAAAAAATTTAAAAACAAAGTCATAAACATGAAGGGGAGAAAAAAACTAAAGGAACCCTTGAAAATATATAATTTGTAGATCCAGGATCATCATTATATACATAAATTAATTAACATCTTCAATTCATACTGAAAAGCCACATGATCATCATCATCACGTAAATAACAAATATACATTCCACTCACACGGAGTCACTCCAAATTAATTCAATGGACCTTCTACAACTATACTACTTGGTTCTTGCTATTATTTTAATATTTTTTTATACATTATGATCGTATTCATTGTGTCGGAATGTGTAGCGTAAACCAAAAATAATTTTTTTTTAAAAAATAAAATTATAAAAAATATATTGAATTTAATATAATGTAATAAAAAAATAAAAAATTGATTTCGATAAAATTTGATTATATATAAAAAAAGAATATAAAACATGAATTTTATTTTAAAAATTTGCTTATATAAAGAATAAAAAAATAAAAAAAATTACAGAAAAACTTATTCCAAGGTTCATACATATAGGAAAGAAATAATATTTGTTAAAAAATAAAATTAAATAAAAAAGAATAAAAAATAAATTTGATGACAATTTTTATTAGAAATTACAAATTAAAGAGATCAATTTTAGTTTTACATGTGGTAGACTTTTGTACAGATAATAACAACTGTTATTAATAGTATTAAAAATATCTTTTTACATTTACATAATTTATTTATTATCAAATCCATTCTTAAAAAAGAAAAGAAAAATACAACTGTTATTATAATAGAATTAATTAATTAATTACTGATTCTGGTAGAGACATTGGGTTTACGTTTCTGGAATCGGATGTAGGATTGCAAGTGTTTTACTGACGATAATCATTGTGTGAGCTTTGATTGTGCAGAATTTGTTGGAAAATTTTGCATTTGCCTGACCTGTTCTAAGCAGGCTTTTCTTTGATGCAAACTTGATATTTGATCAATTTTCTTGTTTTTTTTTCGTTGTGCTACAGTTAATAAAAAATATTCATATTCTGAATATTATAACACCAACTTTCATTTGATTTAAGCAAAACCAAATAACAACAAATCGATGATGAAATATATTTTTGTTTAAAGCATTTGGTTAGGAAAGAAAAAACTTTGTTAATCTCTTTTTTACTCAAGACTAGTATTGCTTATATGTCATTAATTAAGAGAAAAAAAAACTAATATATGGCTCTAATGATAATGTCTTTCGAGGTAAATTATATTAGTCTCTCTATTTTTAGAAAACAAATTAATAGTTTATTTATTTTTAAACATATTTATTTTAATTTAATAATATATATTATGTCGTCAGTCAACTAAAATATATTAAAGCAATGATAAAAGATAAAATATCATCTAATTTTATAACTTTTAATCAAAATTTTGTATCCAATTTTTTATGCTTTTTTTTTTATAATGAATTTTGTAGTTAAAAAGCACCATTCTTTCTTTCTTATGCATTTATGCTAAAATGAAAATCCATAACAATCTAAATATAAATTTAACATAAAATTTTAAAGAGATCAATTTTTAACAATAAAATTAAATAAATAATAAATTTGACGACAATTTTTATAAGAAATTACAAATTAAAGAGATCAATTTTGAACAATAACAGTAATATAATTAAATGTATATATTTATTCTAAAATATAAAAAATTTAAAAAATCCATTCTTAAAAAAAAGAAAAGAAATTACAATTTAAAGAGATCAATTTTCGTTTTGCATGTGGTAGACTTTCGTAGGGATAACAACAACTGTTATTAATAATATTACAAATATATTTTTACATTTACATAATTTATTTATTATCGAATCCATTCTTCTTCTTTTTTAAAAAAAAAGAAAAGAAAAGAAAAATACAACTGTTAGTATAATAGCATTAATTAATTACTAAATCTCGTAGATACATTGCTGACTTAAACCAAGATGAGACATACGAACGGCCACGAAAGTAAGCAACTCTCCTCCTTGCGTAAGTGCTTTTGTATGCCCTTTCCATCCACGGCGACTCGCAGCGTAAGTTAGCATCTCCACCCACACTTCACTTATCATTTCCCATTTGTCTTCACTTGTCCGCAGCGACTGTATTGAAATGGCGAGCCATTCACCATCGGAGATCATCGGCTCTTCTCTTGGTTCACCCAACTCTTTAGGTAGCACAAACGGCAAATCACTCCGTAGATACATCATGTAATCAGATAAAGATTTGCTCATCTTACAACGAATTGAATCACTATAATCCTTATCCAAATACTGATGAGTAGCTAGGTGCCATAGCAGGAAGCTTTCGGGATAGTCTTTTCCAGTCACAGACCAACCTAATTGTTCAAAGCATCCCTTACGCTTATGCACCTGATCGCCTCTCTCTTCCAATATCACAGAGACGTGGCCAGTACGGTACCTTGAACGCTTATCTAAGAGGTAATTGAAGAAAAATTTCTTTAAATCATCACCAACAACCTCCCATCTCTGAATGTTGCCGATGCTAAAGAATTTTAGCTTGTGTCCATTTGAACTCTTTCGATAATCTGTTAGGTCAATTTGGGCCATAGATCCTTTCCACCTTTTATTATTGCTGAAAAGCGACAGCAACCGAGAAGAAGAAATAACTCGATAAATAGAATCCGCAAATAGCTTCCGTTGCTTGGCAAGCCAGAGCACAGCCCAATCACAGAAAAGCATCAAAATGGCTGAGTAAACATCCAGAACAATAGCTCCTACCAGCAACAAGTATGATATAATAATATCAAACTTGGAATAGGCATGGAAGTTTCTGGCCATTAATGAGAACGCAAGTAATGCAGAAACAGAGCACAGAAAGTTGACGAAGCGGAGAATGAAGCGTGTTTGCCAATTAACCTCTGTCATCACCTTGGTGAAAAGCACATCATACATCAACCCCAACTCAACTTCTATCAATTTGAATGCTTCGGTGGGACTCTTGCTCTTCAAGATATGATAGCTGATCATATGAGTAGGGAATGTAACAAGGTAATCAGCAAATAGTAACTTCAAAGCTCGGAATAAGAAATGACCTTCATGGAGATATTTGGCCTCCTCTGATATTATGTTATTAAACCCCAAAATTCCATCAACGTGTTCGGTGCCCATGTCAACGATGAGTTCTCTGGTTGAAATTCGCTGATCTATTTGCCTTTGTAGATGCATCCTTTCTTCGTTTGCAGAGTCCCAAAACTTTTTAGAGCTTGCTAACCAGAGGACCCAAATCCTCTCTCCATATTTTATAATTCCAGAAACAAAGATGGGAATGATTATATAGATAAGCGGATCCTTGCTCCACCATGATCGCAACGATGCATAAAAGGCTATCGACAGTTGGGTTAATAGCTGAAGCAAGTGCCTCGACCACAATTCATTGTCCTCTTCTGAATAGGCAGTAATAGTGTCAGGGCCACCAAGGTGTACAAGGAGCATGGGTGCCCAAAATGCCGGGATGAAACTTGCCTTTGAAGTTGTACCGTTTGATTCAGAACCCCCTTGGCTCCGGGCAAGTAAACCCAATGAAACAGTTGCCAACCAATCTGCTGATAAATATGCTAGCCAAACAAACATCCCAAGCCAGAATCCAGCCATATACTTTCCAGCCGTATACTTTCGCCGACTGCCAGTGACGGTGAGGAAAATTTGCAGTAAGAGACTTAGCAACATCATTGCGCGAAGCTCCCATTGGTTCCACAATTCGATTACACGTCCAGAAAGATGATAAAGATTCATCTTTGGTCTCCTGCAATGCAATACAAGCCAGATATGAATTTTACTTAAAAGAGACATTAAATATTTATACAGAATACCATGTACGTAGTAATCACATAATGCACGAATAGGGTAAAATTGCAAGCAAGCAAAGATAAACAAATGAAAAATATTAAAGCATCATAGCAAAGAGCATGGACGAAAGATAAATTAAGAGGAAAATATTGAATTGACTTAGAATTCTTTCACATAATCGAAATAATGCTTTAAGATATTTAATATAAAACTATTTTTTTGGGTTCCTCCAAAACTGGATGAGACCTTAGCAATTATTTTATAAACTAGGTTAATCTTCCGAATAATTTTGTATTATACTTTTTTCACTAACACGATAAATTAGAAGACCTATTTCTTTAATATATTTTATTTTAACTGTATATACCAAACTTTCAAATATATATATATATATATATATATATAATTGAATTCATGCTTTAGAATATTTAATATAAAATCATTTTTGAATCTTGAATCTTCAGCTAAAACTCATGAATTATTTTATAAGTCAGATGATGCTTAAGAATAATTTTATATTATTCTCCAACGCATACAAGATCTATTTCTACCACAAATTTAATTACAACTATAACTATATGCATCAAACTTTCAAATATAACTATAGCAATATCTTATACAAGACTAAATTAGATCAATTACCTTATGATCATTGGCTTTCATTGTTTTCATGTACTTGAAGAGCATATACAGAAAAATAAATAAATAAATAAAACCTTTCAAGTTTAGGTAAAAGATTTAGAGAGAAATGCAGAAACCAAAAGTCGACTCTTGCATCTCATACCTTTACAACCAAAACGTATTTGAAGACTATATAAAGAGCAGTTTTATTGTTTTGCAACTAACTTGAAGCTTATGTGTTTACACCTGTTGTCACAAAATTACAAGATTGAATTGGATCAATTATCTTGCAATTATTAGCTAACTTTCATATTTTGATATACTTAAAAACATAAATAAATAAAATAAATATTTTTTAAATTTAAGTAAGGAGACTTGAAGAGAAATGAAAAACCAAAACAAACCCATGCAACTCATACCTTTACAACCAAATAAGCTTGAAAATTATGCAAAGAGCAATTTTATTGTTTTGTGAACAACTTGAATTTTATGTGTTTAAAAAAGTGTGCTTCATGCATATTAATAATGCTGCAAGAATATGAATCAGTACATGTGTTTTACTTCTTATCATCAATATCAAAAGTTATTCTCAAGAAAGAATAAAACACTTGCTCTCATCACAAGATAAGATTTTAAGATAGTGAAAACACCAATGTATAAAACCATCTTTACCAAAAAAAAAAAAAAAAATAGAAGAATGAAAGGAATAAATTACTTTCATTTATCACAAGCTAAACCTTTGTCAAAAGTTATGATGCGCACAAATTACTTCCTCTCTTCACAAGCAACAAATTCATGTAAACTTTATAGCTTAAGGCAAGTAGGTGATAAAAAATGAGAACAGAAATCAACAATCTTGTAAAACTTCTTTCTTTTTTTTTCCCCCTCAATCAAGGAGAAAAATTTCATTGGTTATGGATTAAGCCTATGAGTACAAGTAAACCGATGTTTTCAAAATACATTTTCCCTAATTGACATCAAATTAATGCTTTTTAATTAATTTTGGATGAATTTAGTATAAAGATGCTAAAACCATTAAAACACAATTTTTTTTTTAAACATTTGAAAAACATTTTTGCAAAAATACTCTCTACGTTACAAAACACATGTTAAGTGGCTTTCTTTTATTACACTTATTTTATATTTTGATCTTTTTTGTTGTACTCTCCTCCATGTTCCAAAAATATTATTCATCTTTTTTATTTATATTTGTTTCAAAATATTTGTCTAATCAAAATTTTTATTTTATTTTTTGAAAATACCTCCATTTTGTAATGCATAATTAAATTGAATAGATTTTATCTTAAATAAAAAAATATTTTAGAAAAGCATTATTAAAAAAATACTGATACCATATTACAATTAATAAATTTTTTAAACTGAGTAAAAAATCAAAAGGAACAATCATTTTGGGACAACTTCAAGACAAGGAATTATATCTTTTTTTCTTTTTTACCTTTTTATTATAACTTTGATTGATACATTTTTATTTTTGTCTGTTTACTTTTTTATTATAATTTTAAGAGGTCATTTTGTATTTTATCTAGATTTATATAAATTATTCTTTTAAATACTGTATTTTCAGAAGTCTGTTTCAATTTTTCAACTCCTTAGCCTAGATTTTTTTTCTAATTTAAATTTATATATATTCAAAATCTATCTTCAATTTCAGAAACTAATTATTTATTAATATTTACTGTTTTTACTTTATTTTGATTTTTTGTCTTAAAAAATAGAAAATATAAGTAAAAAAATACAGAAAGATCTAAAAGAAAACATTTTATAAAATAAAAAAATTAAATTATTCATGTTCAATACTAGTTAAAAGGATTAAGATATTAGTTTTTGAAATTAGGACACACTAATTTTTTTTTTTCAAAACAAAAGGAACTAATTTATAATTTACTCTGCTTTTGGACGTACAAAAAAAAAACCTTTAAAGTTTATTTTTTCTATTAGATATATTAATAACTACCAATATCTGGTTGACCATGTGTGTTGAAGTGACAATTTTACAAGTCTTTGGCAGAAGTTTACCAAATCAGCTTGCAAAATGGTAAGCATTGTCTACGGTTACTTACCATCTCTGTTTGTTCTCTATTCGCTCTCTTCTTCCTAATGGTGACTTTTTATTTGTGCCATTTTTTTCTGAGACTTTTCATCAAACCCCTTATATTAATCTTTTCCATTTACATGAATCTGACCAAAGTTTAATTTATATGTGCAATCTTCTCAAGCTTAATTATCAGTTTTAACTTTGTGAAAGATAATATAACGAATTCAAACCCCTCTTGCCTCCCCCTTGTGCTGAAATCAGATGCATGATAGGCTTTCAAGACAGGAAGAAACTTGGATTAAAACATCAATGACTTCAATGATCATAAACATATAATCACGTAAAGATTCCATATAATCATGTAAAAATGTTTCTTCACTTACAACAATTTTATTATCAAATCATTAAACGCACACCAAAAAAGAATGTACGTGCATTTGACAACGCAGTTTACTAAGTAATTACTTATACATGCACTGCTCATTTATGCCAAGACGAGACATAAGAATGGCCACAAAGGTGAGTAGCTCTCCACCTCAATGAACCGCAGCAAAAGTTAGCATCAGATAGCACTGGAATCGGATGTAGGATTGCAAATGTTTTACTTACGATAAGCATCAGATAGCACTCAATCTTTTTTCGTTTTTTTCTTTGGGTTTTTTCACATTCATAATAATAATAATAATAATAAATCCCTTAATTTAGCAGTTTTGTCCCATAAAAAAATCTCCCTTAATTTGTTGGAAAATTTTGCATTCGTCTGGTTGAATTGATTTGAAATATGAAAGTTGTGAAGCTATCCATCATTGAGTTTTCTTTTAACTTGTCTAATCTGTTCAGGTCCTTCAGTAGCTCTCATGGGCCGCATGCATGGCCCAACAAATGAGTCATCGGACATGCTTGGGTCATGCCAGCAATGGTACAATCAGTTATTTTAATATATATATTGTCTTAGTTTATACAGAAATTCTTGGTAAATCATTTTGCTAAGCAGTGGGGACAAAATGTTCACTGTAAATTACATTTTTCTACAAAAGAGGAAGGATTCAAGACAAACACCGACTGTATTAAGAAGGGTAAATTTATAATTTTCATAGCTATACATGTATAGATATAACATGCGATATGTACATGAGGAATAGCTAAGTTTGTTGGGTCCGTTATAAAAGGAACAATGCTCGTAACAAACGAAGCGTGTGAAGATGAATTTCACCCAAATTCTCTCTATTCAACATGGTAACAAAGCTAGGGTTTTATCTTCTCCTTCTTCTTCTTAAGGAAGCTCCTAACATTCAAATCGTGATTCTTCCATAAGCATTCTTCTGCGAGACATTATTGTTAGCAGTTTGTGTTCATGGCAAATCCAGCTATCGCTTCGATTCCGTAAGGCCTGTGTCAACAATTCGCGATGTAAATGACCCATTGTTTCTTCATCCGTCGGATACACCTAATCTAACTCTCATCACACATTTACTTCGAGGTGAAGATGATTATAGCTCCTGGAGCAAGGCGATGATGATATCTCTGGAGGCAAAGAGTAAGGATGGATTTGTGACTAGCAAATGCTTCAAACCAAGTATCGACTCACTCGATTATGGACAATGGAAGAAATGTAATGCTTTAGTTCATGCTTGGTTATTAAATTCGAGTATCGGCTCCACTATTCAATGGGTTAGTTTACTATCAAGCTGCGAAGAAGTCCGGAAAGACTTGAAAGAGAGATTTGATAAGCGGCATGGAGCTAAGATTTTTGCTCTACACAAAGAGATCGGTTCATCGGTTCAAGACAATAACAATGTAGCAGTTTATTATTCAAAGCTAAAGCATCTATGGGATCAATATGATTCCCTAATACTTACATTGACTTGTGTTTGTCCAAGCTGTCGAAATGAAGTCACTCAACCTTTTGTTGAATATACACAACAACATAAGGTGATGCGGTTTCTCATGGGTTTAAATGATCAATATCAAGTTCGTGATGTCTCAAATTTTATTGATGAACCCCCTACTTAGTCATTCCTAGGCTTATTCTATGGTGTCGAATGAAGAATCGCGAGAGGGAACTTAATTCACACCAAGAGGTGTCTACCGCATTTTATTCAAGTAGAAATACATATCAAGGTAGGTAATTCATTGATAGAAGAAATTGGTGAAAAGAGGTTATTTGTGATTATTGCCATGGTTCGGGGCATGCTAAAGAGACTTGTTATAAACTCCATGGGTATCCACATCTAACCAAGAAGTTCTCCGGGAGTTTCGGAGGAAGAAGAGAGGCGAATATTACTTCGGAGGAGATAGACAACGAGCTTATCATGCACACAATGCAGGTTTTGAAGGACATGATAATGGTATATCGGAATCGACACAAAGCCGGTTGAAAATACAATGTCAAATCGGAGGATCGATATAAGCAAGCTTTCTTCATCTCCTGTATTTTCTCGACAACGAGACCAACAAATACTGAATTTATTGTCCAGAGAGGCTAATTCGGGAAGGATGACTCCGGGGGTTGATTCTGCTGTAAACATGGTCGGTGAGTTCTTTTGTAGCCTTGTGGATATTGTTTCTAATAATGATGAATGGGTGGTGGATACCGGAGCTAATGTTCACATGATCTGGACATTTTGATTGCTTGGATAATCTTAAGAAATTAGCATCCTATTACACTCGGTAGATTACCTAATGGCAATAGAATATAAGTCACTCACATAGGTTCAATATCTCTTATTTCTAATGTACACCTTCGGGATGTCCTATACTTACTTGAATTTAAATTCAATTTATTGTCGGTAGCTAAGTTCATTACCGACAATAATTGCATGACATCCTTTTATCCATAATTTTGTCTATTTCGGGACCTTAAGAGTGGGAAGAAAAAGGGGATTGGTAATATTAGAGACGGTCTATACTATGTCCAGATCAAACACATTAAAGTCTGTCACACCTTCGACTTCAAATATTTTTCAACCTACTCACTTCGTTGCTATTCCAAGTTTAATTTCTTACAAACCCGGTAACCTTTTTTGTAATAAAGCTAAGCATAATACGACTTGTCAATCAAATGATGCAATACTTTGGCATAAACGTCTTGGACATATATCACTTTCTAGATTGCATTTGATTTCCGGTTTATCAATACCTTTTTCTCATTCGAGTTATTATGTGATATTTGCCCTCTTGTAAAACAAACAAGACCGACATTTCCATGTAATACATCTACCACACACTCTTTATTTGAACTCATTCATGTTGATATCCGGGGACCATATAAGCATCCTATATATAATCAAGATAAATATTTTTTGTCTATTGTTAAGGATTTTTCTAGAGGGACTTGGACATTTCTTATGAAAACTAAGTCTCAAACACTTTCTTTACTATAAAACTTTTATATCCTTATTCAAACACAATTTGATCATCATATTAAACGTATCGGAATTGATAGAGGCTCGAATTCCTTCAAAATGATTGTCAAACCTTTTTTTCTTCCAAAGGTATCCTCCATGAAACAACCATCCCTTACATACCACAACAAAATGGAGTTGTCGAAAGAAAACATAGACATATTCTTAACATTGCTAGGGCTCTAATGTTTCGGTCAAATGTTCCTATCAGATTTTGGGGGGATTACATTCTTACTTCCACATACCTCATTCATAGGACCCCTACTCCATTACTTAATGGCAAAACACCATTTGAGATATTATTCAATAAACCTCCTACTCTTCATCATCTTAAAGTGTTTGGGTGTCTATTTTATGCCAAGTTTTACCTTGTTTTGATAAGTTTTCTCCTAGATCCAAACCTTGTGTTTTTTTAGGCTATCCATATCTACAAAAGGGTTATAGAGTTTTGGATCTAGATACTCGAAGGTATTTGTATCTCGTGATATTTTGTTTCATGAATCTATATTCCTTTTTCATCCTTCTTTCATTTTCATCGATGTCAATTACGGTTCTTTATCTCCAGTTCCTAATTCTTTTATCTCACAATGGACTTATGATGATGATCAATCATCTTGTCTCGTATCTTCTCCTTCCACTTCTAGTTCTCCACATAATTCCGTTGTTTCCAACACCCCTATTGTCTCATCTCCATATTTATCTGATGCCATTCCTCCTCGTAGATCTCATAGAATTTCCAAACCTGTATGGACTAAGGATTTTTCTTGTCCAACATTACCGCAGATCTCATGCTGCTCGCCACTCTTCATCCTGTCTCATTCCAATCAATCGTTTCCTATCTTTCCATTCTTTTTCCCCGAACACTCTGCCTTTCTTACATCTCTGTCTTCTATTACGGAACCTAGTACTTATTCCGAAGCCATTAAGGATTCTAAATGGGTAGATGCTATGACTACGGAGCTTCAAGCTCTTAAATTGAATAGAACATGGGACTTAGTTCCTTGACCATTAGGAAAAAAACCCATAGGTTTTAAATGGGTTTATAAAGTGAAATTTAAACCGGATGGCGGTGTTGAAAGATATAAAGCAAGATTGGTAGCTAAGGGATATACACGAGCAGAAGGCATTGATTATAATGAAACATTTTCCCCTGTTGTTAAAATGGTGACTATTAGAACCATTATTACATTGGTCGCTCGTTCGAATTGACCTCTCCATCAAATGGATGTTACTAATGCATTTTTGCAAGGGGATCTTTATGAAGAAGTTTATATGACCTTACCTCTTGGCCTTCAAACTCGGGGATAGGGCTCGGTTTGCAAGTTACTCGAAGTCTCTTTATGGTTTAAAGCGAGGCCTTTAGGCAATGGAACTCTAAGTTCACTAATGCCATGATTTTCGCGAGTTACTCTCGGTCGAAGAATGATTATTCCATGTTTACTAAGGTAGTCGATGGTCAAATTGTTATCTTATTAGTTTATGTAGATGATATATTGATCACGAGGCTATGATGTTGGGGGTATTCGGCAAATCAAGAGTTTCTTACATGAGAATTTTTATATCAAGGATTTGGGCGGCTTGAAATATTTCTTGGACATTGAGTTAGCTCACTCCAAAGAAGGCA